TAGTGCTTGTTGTAGTCAGGGATTGCAAGGAGAACAAGACTCTACAGGACACATAATTTAGAATGTTATTTATAGTGGTCACCTAAGAAGTCAAATACAAAGAGTTCAGGAAATCTGTTCACACACTGAAGACTCCAAAATATCCAGCCGAGCGCCTGGATCCCACAGCAATAACCTGCATGAGTTCAGCTGAAAACCTAGAGCCCATGACAGTGCCTCCCATGAGCCCAACTGGAGGCCTATAGTCCATAACAATGACTCATGCAAGTCTGTTTTATGGATCTACACTGCAAAGGCCCAAAAGTCAGCAGTGGAAGCTAGAAAGTCTGTGCCAGCAGGACGAAGGATCTGTGCCAGTAGGTTGAGGGTTTTGCACTGGAGCAATGCTCAAAGTAAGGACCAAGGCTTCCCTGAAAAGTACTACAGCCATCCTGTACTACAGTACAACAAGGTCCTGAGCTCCTCGGATGATAACAGCCAAGTTTGTGTCAGGAAGCCAGTGTGACAAGCTTCTCCTGGAGATTGACCAGCACACATCTTCCCCTGCAGAGCCAGGAAGCGATGCTCAATGTAAGGACCAGGGGTCCCCCAAAGTGAACTGCAGCCATTTTCAGTGACAAGGTCCCGAGGTCCTCTGATGATAACAACTGAGTTCATATCAGGGGAGCCAGCATGACAAGCTCCTCCAGGAGAATCAGTGGCTCCAAAAGAACTAACAGCTCCAAATATCAACACTTAGGAGAAACCACAACACTACTTTTTCCTCTCTAGATCTCCTTTTTTAGGCTGGCAACAGTCCTCAGGTGAGTCATCCAAGCTCAGCACCATGCTGATATAATTCAGTTAGTGTTACAAGTTGACCACCAGTTACCAATCCACTATAGTGCTCTAGTCTACCCTGCAGCATTCATTGTATAGATGAACTCCCATCCTTGCTAAGCATAACAATTACAAGAGTAGCTTTTAAAAACACAATTGCTGGGACTGAGGAGATGGCTGACAGTGCTTGCCTGATATTCCTGAACCCTTGGTTCCATTCCTAGCACAAGTTAAAATATTTCCTGGGCTTTGACCAGCCCAGGTTACTAGAGGAATTCTCCCTTCCTCACCAGGGCCCCAGTGCGCTGGAGCCTCTTTGACTTGAGCAGCAGCTATTTACATCCTCTCCCACCTAAAGGCACCTTCTCTGTGCAAGGGGAAACGCTTCAGTCTGTCCTGTTTGGGCACTTCTGTGGACATACTCCCAAGTTTGATGCTTTTCATGGTATTTGAGAAATATTTGTTGAATAGATGGAAATCCCGTACATAAGAAATCTGAAATAATACCTATTTATTCAGAGAGGTGTTCTGTGTGCTTAGGAAACTTTCTGATCTCATGGGAAGAAACTCTAAACAAAAGGACAAGAGCCCAAGCTTCCAATTCTAGCTGTGTTACAAACTTCAATTATGACCAGCAGCAGCAAGTCACTAGTGTTCTCTGGCACTCAGTCTCTTCATTTGTGGAAACAGAGTTGCTGAGTAAACTTTGTTTCATTGCTGGGTTTTGGCTACTCTATAAAGCAATAGATAGTCTTTTTTCCTCATCTGAATGTCCGTAAAGAGTATGGAAACTTTTTTTTTGCTTTGTAAGGATTATAAATTGACCCCAGTTTAAGAAATAAGAAACTCAGTGAGTCAGTTCATGATTTGGCCAATCTTCCATGGAGAGAGACAGAGACAGACAGAGATAAATAGAGGGGGGATGAGAGGGAGAGAGAGAGAGATATCACTCCTCATCTCATCCCCAGATCTCTGGCTTCAACTGAACCCTATCTCAGAGCTACTTAGTGATCCTAAGGACTGCTAGCCCTCACTATCTGTGCTATCTGTATGGCCGGTTAATTCTGTCCTCTGTGAAGAAGCTAGGGCAAAGGGTGTTTCTTCTGGTCCCTCTGCATACTGGCAGCCAGAAACAAAATGTCCATTATCATGTTTAGTAAACTCTTTTTAGGAAGTGGAAGACACAAGACCTAGTCCTTGCCCTCATGGTCTATATACATGGAAAGTCAATACAAGAGCACAATGGGCACAGTGGCATACACCTATAGGCCATCTCTCTGGGAGGCTAAACAGGAAGATCACAAGTTCAAGCCCACCCTGGGCAACTTTGGTGAGATCCTGTCTCCAAAATAAATAAAAAGATAAAAAGGGTGGGAGTGTAGCTCAGTGAGAAAGGGCTGACCCTGGCTTCAGCTTCCAGAACCAAAATTTTTTAAACTGCGTGGCAAAGATGTGCTACTATGTGTGGGAGGCCCTGGGTGCTAAGTGCTGTTTTGCTATATGTTCAGTAGGTAGAACAGTGGCCAGCAGAAGGTGCTCAACATATATAATGAAAATGGGCAAAAATTGTCATGGCTTTCAAACTTTTAATTTGAAAGTGTAATCTTTAATGACTTCATGGCTGGAAGCTCACTACGTAACACACTGCCCTGGTTGAGTGGAGCTAGGGTTGAGTCTGCCTGCTTTGTCCTCTGGGCCTCAGAGAGGCCTTTTGGAGCCCGGATGGAAAACCATTGCTATGGTCTATTGAAAGGACAGGTAACTCAACTCTTTCTCCTGCTCCCCAGTTTACCTCAGCCATCTGTGAATCTAGCCAAATGAAAAGAAGTTTAAGAACCTAGGTCTTCCAAAGGGAATATTTGAATCTGAAAAAAAAAAAAAAAAAAAAAAAGGATGATGTCAGTCTTCCCTCTGGCTTCCCCCAGGGAGCGCCAATTAGTTAGCATAGAGAAGTGGACATTTTGAGTAGGGGACTTCTGAGTTGATTCACAGGTATATAGTGAAGTAATGTCTGTTAAATAAAGAAGAAAGAAAACCACTGTGGCCAATTTTTCTTCACTGACTAGAAATTCATTTGGTGGTATCCTACTGGCAGCTCTGATTCTAATTGTCCAACATAAAGCTCCCTGTGGAGCCTGGTCAGTGTGTAGGTGGTGTTGCCTTTTGCACCTGCACATCTTGCGTCACACTGACAGCTAGTAACATGCCTGAGTCAGCCTTGGTGCTTGCAGCTGCCACGAGGGGCTGCCTGGAGAGGGCATCTTTCCACCATGCTGCAGCAATGTGACCTTCTGCCTGACTTGATCTCCTTGCTTCCCCATGGCCAATAGTTCAAGGGAGGGGATCAATCTAGGGGGTGCTCCCTTGTCGAAGTGGTTCAGGGAGCAAGGCACATCTCAGCTCTGCATCTGGAAAATAATTTTGGGCAACAGGCATTTATTTTTTAGAGAAAGGATAAAGCTCTTGAATTAAGAAGCTTTCGTCACCATCTCATGGCCTTTTCAAATAAATATCTCTACGTACTCTATGCACTGTCCCTCCTCACGGGTGCCAGAAGGGGTAGTGCTAGGGACCCCATTTGATAGCAAGGGTAACTGAGGGGTGAATCCAGCTCATCAATCAGACAGCAAGTCACCAAACCTCACCAGCTCCTCCCTACTACCTAGCCTGGCCACCTCCATCTCTTGCCCAGTCCCTGGACTGACATCAAAATCTGGCTCAGGCCTGACTGTCAGAGGACAGTCACCCATGCCCTTCCTACTACTGCCATCAATTTCAACTCCAGTCTCAACCACCGCTCTGCACTGAGTTAGTATTTTGAAGTTTGGCTGTGAGATTAAGGGCGACTGAAGCTTAGGGCTGGAGAGAACCTTGGAGACACGAGAAATTAAGACCTGGAATATTTGCCCCACATGTCTTGGAATACCAAGCCAAGCTTTTCTGTGTGTCCCTCACATTTCTTGGCTATATCCTGAGCTTCTGTTCCTTTTTTCGGTGGCTCCTTTTGCCTATGTGCTGCTAACTTTTCCCTCCTGTCCTTCCTTCCTTGTCGTACCAGACAGACGCTCTAGGCTTAATGCACAGAACCTGTTTTCTGGGACCTTGGTTTGCATTAACTGGATTAGTGAGCAAAACGTGGAATCATTGTCTCCTAGGGATTGTGAGCTAGGCACCAAGGCACGCAGCGAACCCCCCACCATCACCCGGCCAACAGCCCCTCACTGTGATGGGCAGTGTGAGAAACTGACCCGCAGAAGCAGTGGTCCTGGAGGCCAGTTGACAGCAGAGCTGTGCCAGCACTGGGGGACTTTCTCCAGAGCAACGCTGTCAGATCGCGTCTTTGTCATCCTCCCACGCCCCCAGAGTACCACCAAGCCCAGCAGGCCCAGCTCTGGAGGCCGCACCCATCCAGCCAGTGGATCCCGGGTCTGGATGCGTCTCTAACTGGCGGCCGCAGCCCGCTCTAGAGTAGGGAGAGATGTAGAGGAGGGCAGGAGGGGCGTCCCACTTCCCGTGCAAGCCACAGCCGGCTAACACTTCTCCGCGAGTCCCTCACTGCTTGGCGAGTTTACCCAACTTCTGCGCTGCTCGCCAGACCCACTGCTCAGAGGCGCTCCTGGTCGGAGGACCAAGAGTCTTTGGGAAACTGCACGCACTACTTTTGAGGGGTTCGCAGGGAAGACAGGAACCTGCGGAGGGGGTTTCTAGGGGATAGGGCAGAGGCACCTCCCTGGGACCCAGCAGAGCCGCCTCGTTCGGCAGTCAGCCCCGCTCTCTAACAGAAGCGGCAGTCTGTCCCAGAGGACTCCGCGGACCGCGCCTGGGGTACCGGCCTCTCCGGGCCAGGCTGCAGCCGCTGGAGGCGAGCGGCTGGCAGAGGGGACCTGTTTGCTGGCCAGTTTGGAGGTGCGATGGGGTGGGATTTGGAAACGCAGAAGACTGAGAGGAGAGGACGGTTTCCTTTCCTTCCAAAAAGGAGCCAAATTGCAGGCGCGGGTGGTGGTAGTGGGGAGTAAGTCAGAGAGTAAATACAAACAACCTCCGAAAGAAGCCAAGAAAAACGAAGCCAAAAGAAGCAAGCGCAACACTGTTACAAAACTGTCTGGTTTTGTAACAATTTCTCTGCTACTGGCCAATGAGCAGCGTGGTGGCAGGTCACGTGGGGACGTTTTATATAACACTTTGCTGAGACAAGACAGTTATTAGGCGGCGCGAGGTGGCCAGTATGGAGCTCGCGGAGGCGCGGCAGAGCCGGGTGCGTGGCAGCACCGCGGCCGTGGAAGCCCTGACTCCTTCCAGCCGTCACTCCTGGATCCCTGTCCCCGGTCCCTAGACGCCTTTCCCGGCGACGCGGGTCGCTCTTTCAATGGATTCATTTCAGACTGAACAGATGTTGAGCTTGCCCGGCGAGCAGGGCAGCAACAACTTAGAGCCGGCAGAGTCGGCGGAGCGGGAGGCAAGTGCTGCTGGAGTAGACACGGGCTCCCATCCGGGAGGGGCTACAGAGGGTCCCGAACCGCCACAGACGCGAGAGCAGGAGCAAGAGCAGCCTCCGAGAACCTCGACGCCCCCGGAGTGCAAAGTCCTGCTCTCGCAGGCCGACGCCTTGGCGTGCGGGGGGCGCCTCCGGGAAGCTCTCGAGGTATACAGAAAGCTCTCTGAGCGACAGCAGCTGGTGGCCGAGCAGCTGGAGCAGCTGGTGCGCTGCCTGGCAGAGAACGTCCCGCAAGACGAGGCACAGGCGCACAGGCCAGCTCTGTCGGACAGGAGCAGCGCGACAGTCTGCACCGGGGCAGCGGAAGAGGCAGGGGTGACGGCTGCTGCGGCCACTGAAGTGTGGGATGGCTTTAAGTGCCGGAAGTGTCATGGATTTTTATCAGACCCGGTGTCCTTGTCTTGCGGCCACACCTTTTGTAAACTGTGCCTAGAACGTGGGCGGGCAGCTGACCGGCGCTGTGCGCTGTGCGGGGTCAAGCTCTCCGCGTTGATGGTGGCCACTGGGAGGACGCGCGGTGCCCGGCGGGCTGGGCAGCAGACGCCGCCGCCGCTGCGGGTCAACGTGGTGCTCAGTGGCCTCCTCGGCAAGTTGTTCCCGGGCCCGGCGCGGGCGTCACAACTCCGGCACGAGGGCAACCGGCTGTACCGAGAGCGCCAGGTGGAGGCGGCGCTGCTCAAGTACAACGAGGCGGTTAGGCTAGGTGAGCCCCGGGCGCCGCGGGCTGGGCTCGGTCACGACGCTGCGGGCGGGCGCCTGCCCCAGGCAGGGCGGCGCGGGGGGCCGTGGGATGGGGGCTGCCGGAGTGACACGGGCAGGTTCCGGAGACTTCACCTCCCCGGTTCGAGCCTTTTTCACAGTGCCCGATCACTGCTGGCAGTTTGCTTTTGTCTCCTGTCAACTATTGTTCCCGTGTCTGTCAACCTGTGTTTCTGTGTGTCACCGTGCCTCCTTTTCGCTGGCCCTTCTCATCTTTGTCAGTCACTCGCTGTGTGGCCTGATGTCACCCCCCGTGTCTGGCCGTGTCCCCTCCCTCCTCCTCTGCACTCCGGGATCTTTTAGGCTGCCCGCCCCGCCCCCGGCAGGGGAACTTCGCACCCTTCCCACAGTCGCGCCGCGTCCTCTGCTGTCCTGCCAGCCCCAGATGTCTGGTGGCGCCTGCGTCTGTCGCTCTCGCCTCTGGGAGTTGTCCCTTCCGGGGCTGCGGCTCCCCGTGGGGTGAGTCCGGCCTGGAATTAGGTCAGGAGAGCACTGGTTGCATAAGGGCCGCGAGCGGCCCGGGCCAGGCGGCCCCTCCTCCGCGCGGGCGGGCGGCTGGATTGTGTAACGGCTGAGGTAACCGAAGTGGGCCACGCTCGCCTCGGAAGCCATCCCTCGAGCGTGTGCGGGGCGGGGTGGGGGGGGGGGCGCTCGCGCCCCGCTGCCCTGTGACTCATTGTCACCGCTTCCTATCACACGATCCTTGGCTAAAATAGATCCCCCCCCCCCGCTGCCAGCCAGCAGCCCGCGCCTGCCTCCAATCCCTGAACCTCGCCGCCAGCCCAGCAACGGACCGAGCGGGAGCCGGGGATCCCCGAGAAACGCGGGCTGCCGGCGAGGCGGTCACGCCTCTGTGCTGCTGTCCACTGCCGCCTGCAGACGATCGGGTGGGCCCCGCAGCTTCAAGGGCAAAGTGAGCAGCCCACACCGCAGGCTGCTCGTGCGTGCGCACCCGACTTCTTTTAGAGACCCCGTTTACTCCTCCGATCCCCAACGCCCGGACCCAGGAAGTGGCCACCAAACCGCCAGCTGGGCATGAGTTGCCGTCTCTGGCTGCGTGCCAGCAGCTCTGCCAGCCGGGCGCCGGGTCTGACGAAGCATGCCGGGAGGAGACGGCAGGCAGGGTTGGGCAGACAGGACTCTAGGTTCCTGACTGAAGGCGAAGTGGACCTGAGTCTCCACCTGTTGACTGTCCACTGAAACTTGCAACAGGTAATGGGGTAGGGAAAGGAACAGGGCTGACTGGGGAAGGCTGCAGACTGAACGACCCCACCAACCTGTGCGTGCCTAGGAAAACAGGCTGGGATCTGCCACTGGGCTCGTATGTCCTGCAGAAGAGAAGGAGCAGAAAAGTCTGTAAATGCTTTGCTAATGTCTTAAGAGCAATTAATGGAGCTCCTAAGCAAGCCCTGAGCCTGCTCCTGGAAAAAGTCCAAACTTGTTGCCAGCACTAGCTGAGCCCAGAGCTGGGAGAGGAACAGAGCAATATAAATGAAAGTACAGGCAGCTAGAGTACAGATCTCCAAGGGAGCCATTACTTTTAGCCACCCTCCCCACCAGTTAGCCAAAAATCCCTCACCCCCATTCTGAGCTGACCCCCCACCCCCCGCCTCCCAGCATCTTGCAGAGGGGGTTAACCACCCCCTCCAGGCAGTCAGGACAAAACTTTCAAGACCAGTTTCCCTCTTCCAAGACAAAAAAAGAGTATCTTTGTTCTAGAAAATGGCCCATGTCTCATTTTTCTAAATACTATACCCATCTTCAGGAAAAAGGACCCTCCGCAAGCTTCAGAGGTGCAATGTAGGCATTGACTTCAGTAGGCAATGACTCTGACTAGCTACTGTGAGATCATGAGCAGATCTCACCCCTCTATGGCTTTCATTTTTCTTATCTGAAGGATGGGTCTGTTGAGCCAGATGACCTCTAGAAGCCTATCCAGCCTTAGAGTGTTGGTGAAAATCAGGCTCATTTTATTTGCAGAAGCCTTGTTCAGGTTCATTCACTCTTGACCATTTGTAATGTGAGTACAAGTCCTTGTAAATAGCCTTCAGGGAAGCGTCACATGTGCTGGGGTTTGCAGACCAAGATGTTAATGTTACCAGTCATCTTGCCCACAAGAGAACCATTCTCTTGACTTGCTGTGGATCAGGCTAGGGTTCACATCTGGCTACCTGCCTCTCTTCCCTGACTGGCCTGTTCTCCTGTTGGTGATATGTCACTCAGAAGCCAGGCTGCCAGCCAGCACCTACGTGTAGCCAAGAAGCAGGGTGCTAGGGTTACCTCTAAGTCAAAGTTTGTAATACACCACAGACACCACAATGTCTCTGAAGAACTGTTTGAAAGGGGGAGGAAGTATTTGCTTCTTTAATATTGGGGGAACTGACCTGGTGTAGAAGGCAGGACTATATTAGGACTGGATATAGAACCTAACTCTTTGGATCCCTGGTAGAAAAAATCCTAGATATCTTGTCACTTGCTCAAGACCCATCCTCATACCAGACTTACCATGTGCTTGTACTGGGAACCATTAATGACAGTTTTTTTTTCCTCTCTCTCTCTCATTTCGGCAGCTCCAAATGACCACTTGCTTTATAGCAACAGGTCTCAAATTTATTTCACCCTGGAATCTCATGAAGATGCATTACATGATGCAGAAATAGCATGTAAACTCCGCCCAATGGGTTTTAAGGTGAGTGTGGAATAGGAGGGATGGGAAGGGACTGTATTGTAGATAAGAGGTGTCAAGAAAGGCCACCTCCCTGGGAGATAGGGGGACTACAACTCAAGTAGAACAGAGAGAGGACTTTCAAGGGAACCAGGGTGTGGGCCACCCCTTGGTAAAAGGTGAGTCAAATTGGCAAGAGAACTAGATTGTTGCCTAATTTTGTCTTCAAGTGACAAACTGCACAACAGCCTGGGCTTTAAGAATATGGAATTGTGATGCAGACTGCCTGGGTTTATGTCTCAGTCTTGGTACTTTTATAAGCTGAGTGGCTTTGGGTAAATTACTTAAACTTTCTGTGATTCATCTCATCTACAAAATGCAGATATTCAAAGCACCTACTGTTGTGGTGAGTATAGTATGAGCTTATTGAGGAAGATGCTTAGAACAGTACCTGACATGTAGCATTATATAAGTATTTCCTATCACCATCATTTTTCAAGGACAATACAAAAATGTGAGAGAAGGATTCCTGGACTGGCCCTACTGAATTAGAAGCATCTGGCTTCTTAGGAGCTTTGCCAGCTTTCTTTGCAGAAATCCCCACATGCACACAATGGTTGTGTCACTCTGAGTCCTTACTATAGTCAGTCGACCTGCTGGTGTCCCCAGACATCTAGATCACATGAGAGGAGTGGAAAAAAACAGACTAGATATCTCTCAGAATGTCAGGATACAAGTGTCAATTTTAGCATCTCTGCCTGGCCTCAGGACACATATCAATATTTTGTTTAGAGTATGTTTGAGTCTGGGTTGTGCAACTTGCAGCCAAGGTGACTATGAGGGAAGTGGCTTTACTTTCTGAAACTCAAGTGTTATTAGTTATAAAACAAAGCTGTTGCTATCCACCCTGATTTCCTCACACAGATATGTTAGGATCAAAGGTGAGTGTGGCTGGAGCTACAAAGTGGATTCTGCAAGCTACAAAGCTCTCTGGGTTTTATATAGTGCTTTCTCTGCACAATCCCAGGACTGTAAAGCTACCATATGCAAGTCCAAAGCCTTAATGCATTATCTGAACCTCATGGGAACAGGTGCATTCAAAATCCATCATGTTTCTGATTGTAAAGAAGGCCATATATATGGCAATACCCTCTGTGAACTCTAGACAGTGTTCCACTCACACTAATTGAGCACACTATCTCTGCAGTAATTATGTAAAATTCATACTAAGTGGGACAAATACTTTAAATTACTTTATCAGTGTAGGTCAGGTTTTGTCACCTAATGAATTTTGAGGTCAAGCTTTAAAAATATTGAGTATTGGAACTTTTTTGTGGGGAGGAGGGGGAGAATATAGGAACTTCAGATAAAATATTGCGGACCAGTATATTCTGCAGTAATTTCAGGGTAAATCTGCTGTGTTCCTTTTTGAGAGTTTTCAAAAATGATGACGAAACAATGTCTTTCTCAAGGAGCACTTTTACAGTTCAATGCAAATGACCAGTGTCTTATCTGAAAGGAGGTTGGTAGCGGTGGTGTTAGGGGCTGAGCCTGTCTACCTGTGCAACTCAGGGAACTTCCTGTATATAAGTGGACTTCTGGAGCTTTTTCCTCTCTCATCCTAAGCCTTGGGATGAAAATCTTGGTATCATGGTTGGAAGCAGAACTGAGACACAGATTTTGGATTAAATGGGAAAGGTGACTCCCATGATGAAGGAACATTTGGTTCAAGAATTAGGCAGGAGCTTCACTTCCTCATAATTGTGGGAGGGCAGAGATGAGGGTAGTCTATTATCTTGAGGATTGAAACAACTGACACATGTAATTCAAAAGCATTTTGCATTCAGTTTACATGTATCCTCCCCTTTGAATGTGAAATGCCTCAGAGGAGGGGTTTACCTGGGAACCCTACTCCAGCCATCCAACTAGGGCCCAAGGTATTCAACACACCATTCAGGTGGTATATATCTCAGTGGGTTACGCTGGCTGCAGGTGGAGGATATGAGTTGTCACTTGGTTGATTAATGAAATACCAGAAGCCTTTCCAGTCTCCCAATATCTATACCTTTAACCCTGCAATGGCACAGTAACCCTTCTCTGGAAGGTCCCTGTTAAACACTGCTGGGATTAGCAACAAAAGAGGACATCAGCATCCACTTGTCAACCAAGATTAGGCTCCAGAATGAGGTGAAAGCATGTGGAGGGGCCCTCCAATAGGCTTTCTCAGGGACCACTGCTCACCAAGACAGTTCCCAGGCATCTCCAGGAAAGTGACACTGTGCAAATAGAAGCCAAAGCTCCTCTATATCTTGTCTTCTTCCTCCCTCTTCCCTAGGATGCTACTCTGCTGTCTAGCCTCTTCCAGGGCACTTGGGTTTGGACCCTGACTAGCCCCAAATTTGCTTTTAAAAGATGTGGCAAAGCAGCAGAAGTGAGTAAAAGCATTGTGTCAGGCAGTGAGTAGCCCTCTGAGGGGCACTATACTTTGTGAGGAAGAGAAATGTGGGAGTCTTGAGACTACAGTTCTAGTGCCAGCATTGCCACTAGCAACCTCTGATGTCTTAGAGAGGTCATGCTAATTCTCTTGTGTCTCTTCTGTGAAAGGATTAGCAAGTCTAGGTACTTAAGCAAGTCACTCTGTTGACTAGGTCTCTTCTCCATAGACTAGTTCAGAGGAAAACTATCCAGATGGGCCTTAGCGTGCTGGTTAAAAATATGGGCTTTGGTAAAGTTGGTTCCAGGTTCAAAATCTGATACCATAACTTACTAGCTGTGTTTCTCTGTATGAGTTCTTTTTGATGGTCTCAGTTTTGTCTTCTTTAAAACGGTTTAAAGCAGGATTCAGAACAGTTACTTCCATTAGAGAGCTGTAGATGAAAGCGTGCTTTAAAACATTTCACAGAACAGTGATTGCTCGGGAAGTACTTAGCAATTTCATGAATAGTAGCAGCATTAATAATGTGAATAAGATGGGATTAAAAGCTAGTGTTTTCTTTCAGGCACACTTCAGAAAAGCGCAAGCCTTAGCCACCCTAGGCAAGGTGGAGGAAGCCCTGAGAGAGTTTCTTTACTGTGTATCCCTTGATGGAAAGAACAAGAGAGCAAGATCAGAAGCCCAGAGGGTGAGTAGGAATCACATTAGGTCCAGCTGCCTAGTGGACCCCCACAACTGTGTCTTCTCTAGGGAAAGGAATGAGGGTGCCACCCTCCCTCATATTTGGGGTTCTCAGTGGGTGGTTCTTGAGGATAGGGAGTAGAAGGGAGAGAGGCGTGTCTATTGATTTCCTAGAAGGGCTGCCCTCCTGCTGTGTTCCCACTGGGCAACTGCAGCATTTTGGTAAGAGCCTGAGAGAGATGTTTCTTCGACTCATGATTTGGATTATTAATAGGTCATAAAACCAAACTATGCTAAATAAATCAATCTGGAGAATCAGACTTGCTGGTCAGGTTCTGGCCATTGATGAGAGATATAGGGTGTGGGGCTGTCTAAATTTGTACAACTTTTCTTTGGCTGAGTGGCAGTTTCACCAGCCACATGAGGTGACTAGCTCTTGGAAAGGGACATTGACAGCCCCCACTTCCCCTGTCATACACAGATTTCTAACCTTCTGCTCCTTTGCTAGAAATTAAACTCAGTGTCTCACAAATGCAAGTCAGAGACCTTTAACATAATCTAAATAGTCATTCCAACTCTTGGGTCCCACGACAATATGCTTGTCACACACACACACACACACACACACACACACACACACACACACAAATTGCCTGCGGTACTGAGCACATGATTGAAGGGTTGAGCATCTTCGATTCATGGAGCTTGCTGTTTATTGTTTTGCAACTTACTCTCCTGTTATCTCCAGGCTAATTGGCCTGGAAGTTGGATGTTGACCATCAGTTGTTGTCTCTGTTTTCCTGTGTCCAGCCATCTACTCTCCACCAAGTCACAGCTATTTTCATTCTTGTGTGTTTTGACTGGACAGTGGATGAAGAAAGTGAGCAAAGATGGACTAGTTTCTGAAGGTTCCTTGAAGGAATCTTTTGCAGAATTGATAAGCTTTGTAAAAGATAGGCTTTGGGTTTTCTGACTGCAGTGGACAATTTTCTCTCTGGGAAGTTGCTTTGACCTGGTTTGGGTATGTGGGCAGGGTTTTTTGAAAGAAACTTGGGTCATGGAGAACTGCTCCATGCTGTAGACCAGTTACCAAATGTTAAGTGTTGTCGGTGTTGTGAGCAGTAACATTTCATGAGTATTTTCCTAGCACCATGCTAGGTGCTTTAAGTGGAAGATGTAATTTAACCCCATAACTTCCCTTTGAGAGTAGGTATTATTTATCCCCGTGTTTTGGATGAGATGGTTGAGGAAGCTGCAGCTTGGTGATTTTCCTAAGCTAGTGATTGGTGGGAAAATATTAAAATTCAACATGATCTACCAGCAAAGCCTACCCTCTTAGCTACTCCAGGATGTTGGAGTCCCTGGAGGACATATCTGGAGTCCTGGCACTGACTGCTGAGGCCGGGTCAAGAGTACCAGTGGAACTAATCAATTCTGGGTTGGACAGAGGCAGTTAGAAGGGATTTTTCTTTGGGAATGAAGCATGCGAAGCCTCAAAGAGGCAGATCTTAGCTCAAAAGGAATGGTTTCTTTTCCTTTGTCCATTCCCCAGTTGACCTGAGGGGTTTTGGTATCATCAGTTAGTCTGATCCCTCTCCCTCCAGTTTGCTTTTATAGATTGGCTATTTTTATTTCCATGTCTGCCTAATGGTGTAAAAGGCAGGATGTGGAAAAGCTCTGGAGACCCAATAAGGCGTAAGCCACAGCCTCGGTCCTCAAGGAACTTCAATTTTGTGTTTGTTAATATGAATGCCAGATAATGCTAGTGAGCATATCCCTGTGGTAAGCATTACAGAGTTCTGAAGCTAGCAGAGAATTTAGAAACAATTTTCCTGTGAGTGTGATAAGGCTGTGGCAGCCATTTAAGAACACTGAAGGGCTTCGCTGTGCTTGTTTCCCGGATTGTTTCAGTTTCAGGGTTCCATTTTGATGAAAATGGTCCAAATTCTCTTGGCATTAGTTAGCTGGCTTAGAACTCACAGCCCTGTATTTCTTTTCCTTATTTGTTTATAACCTCCAATTTTTTTCTTTCCTTCTCAACTCAGGCCTTTCTAAGGCTGGAAATGAAGTGAAATTGACTTTCATTCATTTGGAATGACTCCCCTCACCGAAGGTTGATCCTGATTTTTGTTTTCCAAAACCTCTGAGAGAGAGAGAGAGAGAGAGAGAGAGAGAGAGAGAGAGAGAGATTTAGGTAGCAGAGTTAAGAAAGGAGCTGCTGGTGGTTGTTTCTGCTTTCTTTCCTTTCCTTTTGCCCTGGACTACCTTTGCCTTCCCGTGTCCCGCTGCCCTTTCATCCTTGTTGCTTGGGAGGCTGTGTGGGTGCCACTGAAGAATGTCAGGCTACGTGGCTGAGAATTCTAAGGAGACTGCCTCAGAAGTGTTACTCATTAGACCTCCTGGGGGCCAACTTGATTCCTTTGGAGGAGGGGCTTCTCAAAGGGAGCCTTTATGGGTCTGGACACTTAGAATAACTCCCAGCTGAATCCTTTGCCAACTGATATCTGGAGAGTGGGTTGTCAAGAGCAAGAGGAAAACATAGGGACCCATTTGAAAACTGTCAGCCTGAAAGCTAGGCTTCTCCTTGGGCCCTGAGATGGATAAGTGTCTTAATTCAGTCCCATCCAGTGTGATGAATATTGAGCAATTGTTTTGGGCATTCCAGAAGCTGTGCATCTGGCTGGAGAAAAAGACATATTTGTGATACAATGCCAGGATGACAGAAGACAGTGTAATTTAAACTGCTCTCAAATGGTGCAGTAGAGAACATGACATGACAGGAGAGATTAGAGAGATGAGACTAGTAAGGAAAGGTGGGACTGGGGGTGAGCTTTGAAAGCTCAGCAGGGTTCAAGTTCATGGTATGTGCTGGCATCTGAAGAAACTACTGGTGGCCAGAAAGAGAATAAATTAAACTGTGGTTTTTGCTTCTAACAAGTTCTCTTGATCAGTGAATGCCTGATCAAGAATGTGGGGCTCCAAATTCTGTAGGGCCTACTCGGTAGTAAACACTTGAGTAAGTTTTAGAGATTCAGTGTCTTGGTCTCTTTGTGTTATGAAAGAGATACAAAGATAGATAGACAGATAGATAAACAGATAGATAGATAGATAGAGTCCTTGCTGGTACAAGGGAGAATTGAAGCAAGAATGTGACAGCTAATGGTACTGCCTGTACTCCAAAGCATATTTTGGCTCCCATTCTCTTCTGTTTCTTCCCACTCTACTCTCCCAATGTTTCTGATTACAAGGAAAACCAGAAATAGACTGGTATCTGCCTGCCCTGGGTGCTTGAATTTAACCCAAAATTTTTCTAGGAAGTGCCATAATTGGGAAGAGACTAGAAGAAGAGGGGAGAAGTTTGGATTCTACTTTCCTAATACTTTGTGGCCCAGGTCTTCAGCTCTGAAGAGATGAAAGGGAGCAAACCATATTTGGTAGTACATACCTGTAATCCCAGCACTATTGGTGACTGAGGCAGGAGAATCACAAGTTTGAGCCCTGCCAGGGTAACTTAGTGACTTAGCCAGATCCTAGCTCAAAATTTAAAAGAAAGGGACTGGGAATGTAGCTCAGTGTGAAGGCCATGAGTTCAATCCCCAGTACTGCTAAAAAAAATTCAAGGGTGATTGTAAGTAGGTGGAGGAAGAAGCAAAATGGGTAGGCATAGAAAAGGAGCTGTGAAGAACATAGGAAACATATGTAGACTGCAGCGTGCTGAGTTGTTACTGATGTGACTCCAAGTTTCCCAACTGACGTTTATCTCCTGGCTTTACCAATCTGTCCCTTTCCTTCCGGATGGGTTTTGAGATCCTACTGGAAATATTTCTGTAAAACGGTAGCACCAAGGGATGGCTCTGAACCTTGGATGAGTGACAGAGGCATCAGTAGTGCCTTCTTAAAGTCGAGATTCATGGACCATGCTTCAGACCTGGGGGAGTTAGAAGTGGGAACTAGGAACCTAGCTTTTTCATAAACTTCTCAGATAATACTGATGTGTGCTGAAGTGTTCTGGGAGCTGGTATGTCCAGGGCATCTTCCCTGCAGTTTTGCCTTGCAAGCTGTGCCCCTGTCCCCTGTCCCTACCCCCTTCACCTGAGCATCTGTAGAAACTTAAGTAGTGAAGTCTTCTGTTTTATGTCACAGCTTCTCCTTAGTTTCTTTTCACCATCAGTCCCGGGGGATTCTCAGGAACATTCTCCCGATATCCTGAAGCTGTTGGCACCTCACCCTAGATTAAAGGAACACGTAGAGTCAATGGCTACTGAAGGCACCAGCCATAATCTACTAAAGTTGTCACAGGTAAAACTCAACTCACCTAGCTCTTTGTGACGCTTCGTTTGGCTGTTTTGTGGGCAAACATGGGGAGTGAGCCCTACCTCTCCTGCTTTGGTTCCTGAGAAAGAAGAAATGGAGTTCATAGTGGCTGTGTTCTTTGCCAAGAAGGTTACTTCTTAAAGATACCAATTCTGAATTTCAGGGATGGACCAACATACATACATTGATTGATTGATTGATTGATTGATTGATTGCATTTACTTTAGTTCTTGATCAGATCTAGACAAGAGAGAAATTAGATACAACTATAAAAGGATTAGCCCACTTCCTCTGGAGCCATACATTTGGGGTGGGCTTACTAGCCACAGCTTTGGAGCAGAGCCTGGGAAGACAGCCTGCCTGCCACTCTTTTCCTGCTTTTTGTATGTTCAAGCTACTAGCCTTTGAGCTCCAGCTGAGATCCCTGTGCAAGGACAGCTCAGTTTGATCCCCCAAATGGAGATAATTTCATAGTCCTGCACTGTAACTTGTAGATAAGTAGGCTTCCAATACATGTTTGTGCCAGAAGAAAGGAACAAGATACGAGAACACTTTTGAGTTGAAGTACTTGAGAGGAAGACTATTTGTGCTTTTCTTTGGGCATAAGAGAACAGAACATAGAAAGATGGGCTCCAGGTGTTGGCTTTCCTAGCAAAGTGTAAGAGGACAGAGCTGGGGCGCAGAAGTCCAGACTCTAAGGCAGAATTTAGCACTAAATTCCAAAATATCTTTGGGGGGTACTTTCCCTCATTTTGTGCCAAAAGTTCTTAACGTATGTGTAAGCCCAGTATGTAAGCCCTGGACATTCAAATATCCTGTTTCTGTTCTTGTTTTGGAGAAGGAATTAAATATAGATATGCATGAAGTTTTTTAAAAGGCAGATCTTATAGTATCCCCTGAAATATTAGAGTCCTCGGTGGTCATTTTTACATGATTGTGAAGGTTAATACTGAACCCAACTGCCTGGAGTCACTTCTCCTTGTGGTTTACTCTGAAATGAAGAAAAATAGCACCCCTAGGTCTCCAAATTGAACCAGATGAGTAACAGAGGTTGGATTTCCATCCCAACTGCCCTTTGTTAGGCAGTGGACTCCTGTGCGGAAAATGTCTTGGGCTCATGGAAAGTCAAGGCTTTGCTGTAGTTCTGGGAGAACCCTGAACTGCCCAGGTTAGACTGAGAAAAGTCGCATCCTATCTCTCTTTCTTTACTGTTTTCTCCAGCTGTATGCCCCACCCCTTTTCATGTGTGTATGGTAGCATTATTTTTTTTTTTTTTTTGGTAATAGTTGGAGGGGAAGCAACAATATGAGCATTCTGACCTGTGGACTATGGATTTATATTACAGTAAGTCCCCAATTTACAAATGAGTTCCCTTTGGGGAGAATTGGATTCCTTCATAAGTTGGATTCATTCCTTTGCCTACCATCAGTCTTATACAGTGTACCTGTGAATGTTTGCAATTTGAATGTTTCTAAGTCAGGGTCTTACATGGTTTTCCAGGTAAATCTGGATAAACACATCATCAGATTTATTTCTGCATCCATTTTCAAATATCCTTCTCCTGAACAAAAATTCTTTAACAGACAAGACACAGATTGTTTTGCTAAATGATTTTTGTCTCCTTTTGAGACTATTCACCCAAAATCTAGTAAAAGGAATAGGTTGACCCTCGTTTATTTGGTCAGTATAACATATAGCTCTGGGCATGAGGTCCCTTTGGCAAGCCTGTAAATAGATTAGTGCCACAGCCTTAGCAAAAATCCTTTAGGAGGTGGGGTTTGAAAATTTCAGATGGTCATGAATGGCCTTGAGAGTGAGAAGCACTGAATGACAGTATCTACCATCACTGCATGCCTTGGTTTCCCTAAAGGTGTTGCTGGGGAGTGATTTCCCTTGCATTTCCTCCCTGCCCAGGGAGTGTCTCCTGCTATGTGCCTTTCATTGTTGCCTAGGGAATTTCCCTGACTGCCCAAGCTGGGCAGGCCTTTTTTGCAGATGCTGTGTGGAGTGGAAGTGGAAATAAACCTTATGACTGCTCCCAAGTTGAGCTATGTGTCCACTAAATGACTGGTAGTGAGGACCAGGGTTATGTATTTTTCTTTTTGTCCTTTCTAAGAATATTGATCCTAAGTAGAGTCTGATATTGTTTTTCTCTGTCTAGGAAAATCCTGAGCTCCCACATTGCTTGAGTCAGAAGCAGGCAGAAGCCAACCGAGATGGCTGCAGTCTGATGAACACAGCTAACATACAGGTGGATGGGAGGCGAGACAACATGAAAGAACAGGAAGAAAAAGAGGGGGAAAAGCAAGATGCTGCTTCTCCAGATACTGCTTCTGTCAAGATTGGCAAATGTCAGGAAAAGAAAAGGAAACATTGCCAAATTGAAATCCAAGAAGACACAGAGGTGTTTAATAAAGCCTATAAACAAGGTAATGACTATCCAGGGAGCAAATAGGTTGGAGGAGATGCCTGAGTCCAAATAGAAGGTACCCTCTATTTGGGGACGCTTCTGGCTCTGAGTGTGTGGCCCAGCTTTGGGCATTACCAGCTGTGCCATATCAGGGATTTCTATGAGGTCATACATGGTGCCTTATCACTGTAAGCACTCAGTGTTAATTATCATAGAAAGCCAAGGCATAAGGTCCAGCACAGTATCAAGTAATGACATCCCTTGCGTTTGACAGTCTTGCTTCCTTCTAGGCCAACCCACTCTACTCTCATCCTGGTCCAGAAATATAGGATAGGGTCATGTGGTCAAGCCTTACCCAGTTCTGTTTCCTTAGGTAGGTATCTGAGAAGCAGTAGCTGTCACTTGATATCTTTTAAAGAGATACTATCAGTGCCAAGATTTAATCCTGGCTTTGAAGGCCTGGCTCAGTCCTTCAGACTGCTGGAATTGCTGCTGCTGCTGGTATTCCTGCTGTTGAGTGAGGTGCCTTTCATATTCCAAAGAAGTCCTCAGGGATCAATAAACTATTGGGGAGGTGGCAAGTGTGGCAAATTGGAAAGTGTCTTTTTTTTAATCTCAGAACTACTATCTTTGAAACCAAAGTTTGCTGAACTCTGATTTATTGCTTTCTAAATTACAGATCTTCCCACTGATCAGGGGGCCAAAACTGCTCTCAGTATTCCACTTGCATCTTTTGATGCCTCTGACCTTGAATGCTCCCTATGTATGAGGTATGTGATGCCTGGTAGTTCTTCCTCTCTGATGCCTGGATCTTTCTACTGCTGACCTACTGTTTGGTTGGTTACTGCATAAAATCATGGTTCTCGTGAAATGGAAATCATAGCATTGTCACAAGGCACAGTTTGTATCCTCTGCTTATAGACTACATTCCCTGCATCCTGGATTCCTGCCTTGGTAGTACCTAGAGAGTACAAAGGAATGGTCTTTTCACGGGTTGCATGCAGAATGTCTTTTGTTTGGCCTTTATAGGATTTGTTTTTGTTCAATATGAATGTCTTGAGAAAAGATATTCACTTGCTGTTTGCTCATGGTCACCCCTACACACACACACACACACACACACACACACACACACACACACACTGTGTTATACCAGCCTATCTCACATCTTCACAATTTTACTTGACCCTGATAAGTATTTATGTTTGTAAATATGGAACTAATTTTACTGGATCAAGAATTAAAAGCTCAAGGGTTAATATCAGTGCCAAGGGCCTATTCTTTGGAAGCCAAGTAGACAACCTAACTAGCTTGTCTGTTAAACTGTGCCATGAACAATAGTTACTAGCAAGTGTGATATACTTAGCCAAGCATTTCCCTTCCAAACAATACCATATCATTTCTGCTTTCTCAGATTTGTAGAGAGGCAAATTATCTACATCTCCACTATAAGAGCTAGAGAAATAGAGAGGGAGGGAGGGAAGGAGAGAGGGGAAGAGAGACAGAGAGAGAGAGAGAGAGAGAGAGAGAGAGAGAGAGAGAGAGAGAGAGATTGGGATCATGGTCTGTGTAGCCACATTCAGCTTTCATTTGTCATTATTTCACATCTGTGAACTTAGTGGTCAAGAGAAGAGACTTCCAGAATCATAGTACTAGCTGTGTTCCTTTACAGGCTATTTGTCTGAGAGTAAGTGATATTCTCTACCGCTGTTTTCTTGCCAGTAAAACAAAGAACAGTAGCACCTACTCCGTGGGGTTGTTATGGTTAATTGAAAAAATTTAAATTGCTGGGGAAGTAGCTCAGTAGTACAATGCTTACCAAGCATGTGCAAGGCTATGGGTGCAATCGCCATCACTGACAGAGAGAGGTGGGGGAAGAGGGGCAAAGAGAGAGAGAGGGATAAAAAAGAGGAAGAAAAAGGAGGAGGAGAAAGTAAAGAAGAAAAAATTTTATTTAACACTTAGAATAGTGCTTGGTATATAATGACTATTCCATAAATGTTAACTAGTATTTCCTCCTAGGCCAATTTTCTTAACAATAGGTCTATAGACTCTGAAGGGTTCTATTATGGATTCTAACAAATCTAGGAATTCACTGAAGTTCAATTTAAGTGTGTGCGTGTGTGTGTGTCCAGGACAAATGTCTGTAACTTTGAGTAGATTCTGTATGTTTTTCAAAAGAGCATTAAAAGGAGGCTGAGACAATTACACAAAAGATGTTTCACCTGGAAGAAAAAGTGTCAAGAAGAGACTCTTAGTTCATTGCACATTGGATCCAGTTGGCAGACTCCTCAAAAGTCTTCTTGCCCTTTAAAGCACCTATGTCTTACTAACAATCACCGTGTGTGTTCTGAATGACTCTTCTTATCCATGAATAAGAGTAAGGCAGTCATCACCCAAAACATGGGCTTTTTTAAAAAGATTATACTTGGGGCTAAGGATGTGGCTCAGTGGTAAAATGGTTGTGTACCATAAATGGTACATGGGTGTTCCATCCCCAGCACCACTCCCCCAAAATATAGTCATAATTAAAAATAAAAAGCCAAGGTACTCCTGTCTGCTCATAAGCTTGTGAAGATCTGATAAAGAGCAGTTCAGCAGGTCAAACATCATACACTGTCAGGAGTTTGTTTAGATGGAATGGGCAAAGATGGTATGGGCGTATAGGTAGCTCTTTCATTACTTCCTTTATCCCCACACAAGAGTGGCAGGTAGATTGCGCTAAATATGTACCGCTTCTAAGAAGAGAAATGGTCCCCAAAGCTATCACCACTGTGGCTCAAAGCCCACGATGTGAGCTGTGTAGTAGATATGACTTAACCCATCCAAAGGGAGCAGGTCTTTGTTATACTTAGCCTCCTAATGCATCCAGGCAACACAAAATCAAACATATAGACTCATCCTGTTTATGTTTTCTCTGTGGACCAGAATCCTGTAGTTGAAGTTTTTTTGTTCTTCTTCCTCTGTTTTCTCCCTTTCTTCTTGATTGTCCCTGATCTCAACAGGAGGCTTTGGAGATGGCTTAGAAATTTGTTCCAAGAAGGAAATATCAAAAGCGTAAGAACTCTTTCTAGTTTGCATGGTCTTAAGTCTAAAGCCATTATTTCCCTTATCTTGACCCCCTGTTCTAAGTAAAATTTCAATTCCAGAGCCCATCTTTCCCTGGAGTGGCTGTTATATAAGTTGCTAAATTATAGCTAGAGTCCCACCTTTTTATGATAATAAGAAACCTGCCCAATCTGTAGAGCATTTTTGATCTGGAGGCTTCTAAAACTTTAGCTCTTGGTCAGAAACATGTACAGTATTTCCTCTTCCAAAAGGATCTATCTGTAAATTAGATTTCAGAATTGACAGAAGCTATTTCATACACGTGTTTCAGCTTGAATTTTTCTAATCTTGAAAAAGTTAAGGTTTCCACCTCAATGGATGCTTATATTGTTGCTTTGACAATTATTATTAGATTCTGTTAATACTATCATGTGTCTTTGAGCGAGAGGATCTAACAGTAGAGATAGTCTCAAGCAACCTGCTGGGTCATGAAACTAGCCATTTCTATCACCTGTGCAAGTTTCTAGAGTGAAATCCAGTCCCACAGTGTTTCACTGGTAAAAGCACAAGTTAGACCATAAATTTATATATTTTAATTCTAGAGAGAAATTCAGGAGCAGGTTTAAGTTTTGCAAAGAGTGGATAAAATGAGAGTAAATGGAATAGTTCCTGGAGGTGCGCTAATGAGGCCCTTTCCAATCTCCAAGCCTCCTTTGCTGAACTGAGAGAACTCTGTTAAAGGAAATCGCCCCCTAACTCCAGAACTCTGCCCAGAAATCTTTATTAGCTAAAAATCCTTCTTTCAGTTTTACTTCGTAAAGCTACAATAGCTAGTGGGGCCCACCTCCAGGGCTGCTGTGAAGCAGCACCTTTAGGGTGATAAGAATATTTTGACATATAAAGTGAGAATGTTTGATGTGTGAGCCATTTACCTAATGACCCAGTGATGTCTTCATCAATTGAAAGAAGCTTTGTATTTAACCTAGTTTTAGCTACTTAAGTCTCTGGGTGCTGAGTCGGTTCATTTTCTTTTGTCTCTCCTTCTGCCTCCTTCTCCTTCCTTGTTCTGGTTTGATAGCAAAAGAACACAATATAAGAATGAAACTGGTGGGGAAACATAGCTGTTTATCTGGGTTGACATCTAACTGAAAGAATTTATTATTACTATTATTCATTCTGTCACTGGGGTAATTTAAAATGCTTTCTTGTGAGAAAATCTGGCCCTGTTCTGATTCACAAGTGCTTCCCTGAAGTGTTTTGTGCAATCACTATCCGAGCTGATAAATGAAGGGGAGAGGAATTCTGGTACACATCTCTATATAATAAGGATCTCTGTTTCTGTCTGTATTTCTAGAGAGTGTAACAAGGAGGGAGAGAGAAAGAGAGGGACACATAAAAGTGTTTGTACGAACGTGCGCATCCCCGTGTCAGTGGATGATGTCCATGTGAGATAGTCATCACTGTGTCATATAGTGGAGAAGGAACATTCACAGTGGCATCAAGTTTGACTCCATATCCTAACTTTTTTTAACCAATTACTTAACCTGAATGTGTTTTAATTTAATCAGTAGTAAAATTACCATCTATTAATGTATAGTTAATTTAAATGAAATCAATATTTACATACATCCAGAAATACAGCAAGACAAATATATTTTACTAACTCAGCCCATGCAGATTAATATCCCTGCAAATAGAAGTGAACTGAGTACTGAAAAGTGACTTATTTCAAAGCAATAATTATGCAGTGTCTGTGGCTGCATTTTAGCTTACTACATCTCATTAAGGGGCATTTTAATCATCAAACTTGCTGAGAAATAGCTGTGTCCTTTTGTGTATGTTTTACTCATCTGCTCATGAAATATCAATATTTTGCTATGAATTAACAAGTCCTATGTTTGTTAATGTATATGGAATATATTAAATGAATAATAAACCTAACTAAAAATCTCAGAAAACAATAGTTTTGTGTATCGGTAGTAAACACATGTTTACTAGTCATCTTCGTCATTAACATCACCACATAATGTCTAAAGCTGTCTAAATGCACAGAATCAGGTTACTAAGGAGACAGACTATTCTGGTTTGGCTCTCCTGGTAGTGTGATCACAACAGTGATTTCCGAATAAGCCTGGAGGTCACACTTTTGGAACACATTTTGAATTATGAAGTATATAAAAGGTGTAAAATATATATGTTCTTGTAATAAAATACTGTAAAGACAATGCACATATAACCCATCAATTAAATAAATAACATATCGAAGGACCCCAGAAGCTACCCATGGTGTCCTTTCACAATCAGGACTACACTCACGCACCCCCCCCACCCCAACCACTATCTGACCTTCTCCTGTGTTGTCTTATAGTTTTAACACCCATGTGTGCAACTCTGCCTAGTGCAATTTAGTTTTGACTAACTTTAGGAATTAATATAAATTATCTAAAATGTATTCTTTTAGTCTGGCTTCTTTTATCCATTATTAAGATTTGTTCATGTAAGTGCATTGTATGACACTACCACAATTCTTTATGAATTCTATTATAGATGGGTGCTTAGGCTCATACTAGTTTGCAGATAATATGGACAATATTGCTACGAACAGTATTTTTGTATTTCTTCTTTTATTTCTGTAGTGGGGATTGAATCCAGGTCCTTCACATTGAGCTACATCCCCAGGCCTTATTTTTTAGAGTCACAATCTTATTAAATTGCTAAGTTGCGCGAGGAGGACTCAAAATTGTGATCATCCTGCTACAGTCTCCCAGAGTGCGGGATTATAGGCTTGCACCACCATGCCTGGATGAGCACTGTTTTGTATACCTCAGTGTTTGTTTATCTTTTATTTGGTTCTCTCCCTTTCATACAGACTTGCAGGAGCTTTACATGTGTTCTAGACACATCTTTTTTTAGTCCTATGTATTACGAATACTTTCTCCTATGTGGCTTACCTGTTTACTCCCTCAGTGATATATTTTGATGAATCTAAAAGTTCTTAATATCAGTACAGTCAAAATTATCAATCTTTTCATTTATAGGTAGTGTTTCTTTGTGTCTTGTTTAACATGTTTTTTACCTTGAAGTCATGAAGATGTTTTCTTATTCTGCTTTCTGAAAGCTGTATTGCTTTACCTTTCACAATTAATATTTGATTTTTTTGAGACAGGATCCCACTGTGTAGTTCAGGCTGGCCTGGACTCACTACATAACTCAGGCTGGGCTTGAACTTGTGTCAATCTTTCTACCTCAGTTTCTTGAATGTTGGGATTGCAGACATTCACAATTTTTTTTCCTTTTTCTTTTTTATGGGTACCGGGCATCAAACTCACGATTACCTGCTTGCAAGGCAGGCACTTATGCCGCTGAGCTAAATCCCCAGCCCCCACAATTATTTTTATAGTCTAATGCAACTCATTTTTGTGTACAATGTGACAAATGGATAAATTTCATCTCTCCTTATAGATAACCAGTGTAGCATTTACTGAGAATGCTACTTATGTGATTAAAAATATTTCTTGCCACCGCTACCCCTATTCCCTGCTTTAAAGTGCCTTATTTGTCATAAGTCAAAAGTCTATGTTTGAGTCTTTTCTTAGACCTTCTAGTCTATTCCACACTGCTATAATAAGTTTTAATAAGTTCTGTTGTCTGGTGGATGGTTAACTCCTTCCACATTGTTGCTCTTCAGATGTGTCTTGGTCCTTTGCATTAACATTTAACATTTACATTTAACATTAACATTTTGTTAATATGTTTATAAAGCACTTATGAAGTACCATAAAAATAAAGAAATAATCATTCAAATTTTTGTTGGAACTTGTTAGGTCTTCTTTACTTTCTTTCAGTGAGGTGTTTATATTTCCTAATAGAGATCTCACACCATTTTTATTAGATTTATTAGATTTCTGGGTACTTGCTTTTGGAAAGGAGTTGTAAATGTCATGGTAAAACTGTATTTTAAACATTATATTGTTGGCACTACATAGAACTACAACTGTGGTATGTGTATTTACCTAACAATCTTATTGACTCTGTTCTTACTTGTAACAGTCAATCGGTACATTCTTTTGTTTTCTAAACTCAGTATGCATCGTTACAACATTGTTAAATAATGACAGATTTGTCTCCTTCCTTTCCATTTCTCATATTTGTCTTCTTGCTTTAGTACACTGGTTAGGGCATCTAACATATGAAGGATTTTCTTTTTGAAAACTTACTTTTGGCCAATTTATTTGTTTATTTATTTATTTCGGTACAAGGATTGAACTCATGACCTTGCATTCGCAAGACAGGTGCTTATGCCACTGAGTTAAATCCCTAGCCTATTTCTTTGCCAATTCATTATTTTATTTGGTACCAGGGATCTAATTCACAACCTTGAGCTTGCCAAATAGATGCTTGTACTGCTGACCTAAACCATTGCCTTTTTAGCCAATTTAATAGGTAAAATTTATTAGTTCTGTTTGAAAAATTAACTAATTTTAAATAAATTGCAAAATTCAAAAAATACAAAGAGGTAGTTATATATAAGCTCTTTCTTTTATTCTGGAATTTCAAGGACATGATAAAACAAATGTCTCTTCCCTTGACTTTCTGAATCTGGGTTTACTGTGCAAATGTTTCAAAGATCCATGGGTGCCTGAAGACTAATACAGGAGGTTTGCCTATGCAGTTTGATTGGATTGTGTAATACAGTGATTCTCAAATTTGGATGCACATTAAAACAGAACAGGAGCTTTAAAAATCCTGATGCCTGTCCTGGACCCTAACCCTACTGATCTGGATCTCTGTAGGTGCATTCTTGTGCATCTGCAGTTTAAGAGACCCCCTCAGGTAATAAATAATGATGTGGTAAGAGGCAAGAGGAAACAATTGGGAGTGATAGGTGTGTATGTTCACTATCTTGATTGTGGTGATAGTTTCATGGGTGTGTGCATATATCAAAACTTATCAAATTGTATGCTTTAAGTCTAGCAGCATTCCTTAAGTATATAGTAAAGGTGTTAAAGAAATGCCCTCTGGTGTTTCTGATGCACACTAATAGTTGCAAATCATTGTGTAATACAAAGGCACATGAGTGGAGGTGAAAACTGGAGAGACTTTAATCTGTTAATGGTTGCATATACTTAGATAAGCACCTTCACCACCTCTGAATGTCAGTTTTATTCTAGTTGATAGATTCACATTTTTTCAAGAACTTTTGAACTCTGACATGTTGATTCTTATGCTCAGGACGGCAGTGTGGGCTAGGCCAGTGGTGCACCTCCTAGCCATATGAGGAGCTGTGTAGTTGCCCATTTCTTTTTCTCAATTGAACATTCTTTTTGTCTTTTTCCTTTTTATCGGTACCAGGGATCGAACTCACGACCGCCTGCTTACAAGGCAGGTGCTTATGCCGCTGAGCTAAATCCCCAGCCCCTCAACTGAACATTCTTGAGAGGTCAAAATAGATTGATGAGGTGTCTCTTCTTTCTGTGCTAGTCCTCTTAGTGACTGCTAGTCTCACTTCTTAATCATCACCATTAGTCTCACCCACTAGTCTTGCTCCAAGTGAACATTTCTTTCAGACAGGGTATTGCTGTCTAGTTCTGGGTGGCCTTGAACTCACTTTGTAGCCATGGCTAGCCTCGAACTTGCTGTGATCCTTATGCCTCAGCCTCCCGAGTGCTGGGATTACAGGCATCCTCCACTGTGCCCAGCTGAACCTTTCTTTATGCAAAGTAAACTCGTATATCTCTAAAGGTGCAGAACTGCTTTAATAAAGGGTCCTAAGACAGTTTTGAAAATATCCTACTCTTCCAAAGCAATTAAACTAGGGTCTAATTGAACTACAGTACGTGTATATATAAATACATAGTATATAAGTATGTATATCAACATTTATCTCTATGTACCTGCCACCTACCTATTTATCATCTATCTACCTATCTCAGTAAATGCATTAACAATATTACCCTGTGACCTCTAGGGAAATTATCTATCCATATAAAAGTTATTAGAGATGCAGTTTCAAGATTTTTCAGGTAATAAATGTTGCTTAAGTGAAAAAAGAAATGAAGGTTAGTCAAAAAGTCAAGCTTTTCTCATTTCCCATTATAATATGATGTAGGGGGTGTGTATTGTGTGTGTGTTTACATATACTCAGGTGAGCTAAATGTTTTTATATGGAATTGATTCACTCTGGGATTAACCTCTGTTTTTCTGGGATTAGAAAGGGAAAAATTTTGGGGTGCTCCAGAAGAAATAAACTAGAGCTAATATTGAAAAATTATCTACCTATAGCTTAAAGTTTAACAAATACATTACTTTTAATCTGGCTCAGAAATTAAAAGCAAGTGATTTTCTGACATGTAGAAATATCAGTGATTAAAAATTAAAAGAATCATTTACACATAGATTTTTCCAAATAGTTCTATGAAACTTTACTCATTAGTACTTCTGTTTTACTATTGGTCTTATTACAATTTTCTTTCATTCTGATTCCTGAATTTCAGATTATTCTATGAGCCAGTCACAACGCCTTGTGGGCACACCTTTTGCTTAAAATGCCTTGAAAGATGCCTGGATCACAATGCAAAATGTCCATTGTGCAAGGATGGTCTTTCCCAGGTAAACCAATATTTCTTTTTTAAGTTACTTTTTCTTGTTGAGACAGAATACCCAGCATCCAAAATTAGGGAAGAAAGGGTTTATTTACCTCACAGTTTGTGGTGGTTTCAGCCCATAATCAGCTACTCCAATGAAGGCAGAGGGACAGCAGTTCATGGCAGTGAAAGACAGCAAAAGCAACAAAACCAAAAAAGGAGGACCTCTTTCCCTGCCTTATATTGTATGCAGGCTACCTGCCCCAGGGTGGGTGTCATACCCATAATTCCAGCATTGGACCATGAATCAATTACAAACTCTAGAAGTCTGCCCTTATGACAACACGAGGCTTTGGGGAGACATGTAGACACAAACCGTAATAGTTGGTTTAACTGTAGAATTATATACTAAAGTTTAGGCTGGGGATATAGCGCAGTGATACAGTGTCTGCCTGGCAAGCACAGGGTCCTGAGTTGAATTCCTGGTACAAAAAAATTAAAGAGGATACTAAGTATTTAACTGATTCATAAACACTTCTGCAAAACAGTCCCTCAGGCCAACTGTCTATTTCCCCTGTCTTCTAACTAGCCCTCCCTTCAGAAAAATGAGGTAATATCTAGCTTTTCGTGAACTGTCAGTAATGAAATTGATTTGTTTTGGAAATATAAGTATTAAATAGATGATAAACATAGATTCTCATTTAGTAGCACCAGATACACTGTAATTCTGGGTGAATATTCATTCTTTTATTCTATGCTTTGAAGAAAGCAGCTCCCAGGACCCCTAAAAACCTTGCAGACCTTCCATGTGGTCCATATCTGTCTCAGTTACTTTTCTTGTTGCTGAGACAAAATATCTGGCATCTAAAGTTAAAGGAGGAAAAGTTTATTGTAGGTCACTTTGTAAAAGTTTCAGTTTATGATTGGCTGGCTCAAAGGCAGATGTGGCATGACAGAGGAGAAGCAGTTCATGGTAGGAAGAAGGCAGGAAGGCAGAAAAGTAACCAAGAAGCAGCAAATGGCAATGCCTGCCCTCTTTCTGTCCCTTATATTATATCCAGGCTACACACCCTTAGGGTGTATAGCACTCAAAACTCAAGGCTTTCATTATCCACACCCAGAATGATGCCAAACCAATCATTGGACTAATTTAATAATTACATACACTTTACCCCAGCATCACACACTCTGGATCTAGCCGCCTCTGAAAAGCCATACCTATGACTACAGGAAGCTTTAGGGGGACATCTAGACATAAATCATAACATTTTTCTGGTGGCCATCCCCAAAGATTCATGCACATCCCTTTATGCAAAAACGTGTAAGAATTGTCAAAATTTTAACAGTTTCAGCACTGTTGAAGTCCAAGTCTGAAGTCTCCTCTGAGAGTTAGGGCAAACTTAGCTGTGAGCCATTGTACAAATGAAAAGAAAGTTAAACACTTCCAAAATAAAATGGCACAAGATAAACATTCTCATTCCAAATAGGGGGATACAAAGGAATGGGACCAAAGCAAGTCTGAAATCCAGCAGGAGGAACATTAATTCTTGTAGTTCCATGTCCAGCATGTAAGGCAGTCTTTGTTAAGATGTAATGTCAAAGAGCTTGTGTGGCTCCATGCTTATGGCACTGCAGAAGGTTGTAGCTCCCAAAGTTTCTTTCTTGGGCTGTCTTTGCTTGCTCCTTGAAGCTCTTATCAGACAGTCTATGTTCCTGGCTTCTCTAACTGTCTGGGAACTCCACTGAGCCTTCAGCTTTACACTTACACCTTCACACACTGCCCCCTCAGGGGCACACTGCCTGGCCTCCCAGGTCCTCCTCTAAAATCTGGGTGGAAGCCTTCCTGACCCTATAACACTTACATTTTGCATGCATCTAAAACCAGTATCACATAGATAACACCAAGGTCTGTTGCCATCTTGAGCAGTAAGCAGGGTTCCCTTTCTCTTGACTGCAGGGGTCTAATACTTAGATTTCTGAGTACTCTGAACCCCAATTCCAAGGAATGAATTTTCTGGACCACAGCCATTCTGGATCATGGAGCTCTTATTTCAAAGCAAATTCTTTCACCTTTGCAATTTCTTGAGGCTGAAAATGCCATAGTCCTTCTCTTTCTTGGCAACCATGTTATCTCTGATTTATCTTTGCAGTCTGAAGCTTTATGAGAGCTTCTTTTATGGACAAATGCACAAATCTTTAAATAATTCTTCTGGGCTCTTTGCTCTTGATTCTTAAAATAAATCTGGCCAAAAGCCCCCAACAATAGCTATACCACCACCTCAATATTAGACTGCCTTGGAAGTTCTACAAGATTAATTAGTTCTCTAACTTTATTCTCAGTCTTAAGCAAAGTCTCTGGACATGAGTAAAATGCAGACAAATTTTCTACCAAAGTATAACACACATGATCTGGAGTCTAACAGCCAATGTAGTCCTTCACTTCTTTGCAACAGAAACCTCCTGAGCCTGATCGTTACAGGCAATATTTCTATCAGTCTTATGGTTTGAGCTCTGACCAGAATCTCTCAATAAGTAAGTTTAAGGCATTCAGGGTTTCTTCAGTCAACCTCTCCTAACGTTTCCAAACTCTTCCTGCGAGCCAGTTCCAAAGCCTTCTGAAGCATATGGTGAAGTACAATCACAGCAGTGACCCCACTTCTTGGTACCAAAATGTGTCCCACAAGCCAGTTCCCTATCTAACTACTCAGGAACCACTGTACTAGTTGGAAGACACTTGGTGGCTTGAAAAGCTCTGAGGGTCTAGATTCTCTAAAATTAATCATAGAGACTTCTACTTTCATTTTTCAAGTGAGCCTGATATAATTTCCTGTGGTAAAAGAAAGCCCAGGAATCTGTCTTGTTTTCCATCCTTTAGGGACTTGTGCACCATATTTACAATCAGTATTAATGTTCTGTGACTCTTATTATTCCTGAGCAGAAGTTAGAGGCTCAGGACTGTCTCTGTATTGCCCAGAGAAGTCACAGGTTAAGCTTTTCCTAAACTCTAACTTTCTCACTAAGGGAAATGAAATAAAATACAACTTTGAGCATATGTGTTTGGAGAAGGTCAAAGCCATCCCTTTCTCTAGAAAAATGAGTGATATTTGCTGACTTTGTTGCAGATGAGAAGCTCATGGCCCTTATATTTAAGTAATGTATCTGTTGTGATAACTGTATGAAGTTGAGATAAGCAGAAAGAAGGAAAGTCTACCCATATGTTCAGAAACTAAATGAAACCACTATTGACATTTTAGGATGTATTCTTCTTAGAGTTTTATTATTGCACCACCTTCTTCCCCAACACACACACACACACACACTGCAGGAACTGAGTAACACGGTTGTTTCTCCTGTAGCTACTAGTGGTGGCTTCTAAGATATGCAGAACACATATACTGTGTAGCCTAGTCTCAGGAGCTAGAAGATACTTTAATCTGTCTATTCACACAGGGTCACATTTACACCAATGTACACAAAGGTAAGTATTTCAATCATGTCCATTGCAGAATAGAGACTCCCTGTGCTGGGAAAGACAAAATTATCTGAAGTCAGCAGTTTTGTGTTCAGGAGCTCCCCCTGGTGGGTCTGTAGGGGTAGTTTTCACAGCAGTTCTCTAAAGTCAGTGATTTGATTGACACCTTCAAATTCTTCTACTTGCACATCCCTAAATATGCATGGGGTAGGGATGTTTGAGCAGAGAGTAATAGTCTGATTCTGCAGTTATGGTTTATGATATAATTTTGCTTGTACAGATGGCATATGAAAAATGTAAGTAGACAAAAACAGTCACCAGTATTTAGGTGTTCATGTGTTTTTAAACTAAAGTTAGAGTAAAATATACAGACTTGGGAATATCCATAATCCAAACATTGGGTGGAACGGGGTCAAGGAAGAGCAGGAAAGTCTCAGTGAATCTTGGCTTTTAGTTTCCCGAATCTTTTGACTTTAACATATTCCAAATAGAGACCGAAGAGCCAGGAAACAAAATAATCAGATAAAATAAAAAGGAGGATAATCTCTTTCTTGAACAACAAAATGGTACCAATTTCAGTGTTTTAGAAAAGCTGTGTGACTTTTAAAAATTCAACTCAGAATCTTTCTGTTAAAATATTGTTTTAATTATTAAGGTAATCAGTTACATTTTTAAAATTTAAAAACTAAGCCTTAACATTCAGAGATTTCATATGATATTATCACTGCTAAATTATGTGTCCAAATTGCTCCAACATGTAAGTCATTCGACTGCTTTACTGATTATATTAGAAGTCCTTTGTGTTTTTCTGATGACCGCATAGTATCTAATTGCCTTGTTCCCTACATAGTGCTTGGCATCAAGAAAATACAGCAAAAATGTAATAATGGAAGAGCTAATAGCTAAATTCCTTCCAGAAGAACTCAAGGAACGAAGGAGGCTTTACGAAGAGGAAATGGAAGAACTCTCTAAGTACGTATATGTATATTTCTGTTTTTGTTTTCATTCATACCAGCTCAAGGCAGATGAATGGACACAGTTCTTCCCAGCTCCTCATTCAGTGATACTGCATTGGTAGCTTGAAATTGGCTATAGTGAGAGTATTTACACCATGGAAATCAGCAAGAGCTACAAACTAGGGTTTACCTCTCCCCCAGAAAACAATTAACCATTTACCAGCGCACCACCGCACAAGCAAAGGTCAAACCACTGACCAAGATGCTTGTTGGCATGAATGACAGGATATTTCTGGCTCCTGAAAATTGGAATGGCTTGACCAGGAGAATTTATGACACGTCCAAATTGTCTGCAAATATATAGAAGGTTCTACAAGATTAAGAACTTAGATGTTAGGCCTGGGTTTGAGATACATATTGCAATCTGAGAACACTTCATGACCCGCCAGATCATTACACCTTTCTGAGTCTCAGTTTCCTCACCTGTAACTGGGAGATAACAACAGTTCTTACCCCGATGGACTTATGAAAAACCAGTGAGCTGGTACATGGTTAGCATTTCATAAATGGTAATGGTAATACTTGTATTGGTAATGGTAATACCTGTATGCGTGCACACATGAAAGGTGATGGCAGGGATTGTAACAGACCTGAGGCTCCAAGCTCTCTGCTTGCTCACCTGGCAGAACAAGCAGAAGCTGATCATCAGTTTCCGTCCCTCTGGCTGCTATCCCTCCCTCTCCTGCCCTCAGAGGAATTCTCACAGCATTACAAAGGTGCAGTCTTGATGGCAAATAGCTGTTCTGGTTTTATGCTTACCTTGTAGAGAAAAGTTCTAAACTGCCGCTAGTTTGTTCGAATGTGTCTCTCATTTTGAATAATGTTTTCTCCAAAAACTAGAAGTCTTTATTTTCTCATTGACTTATATTGGAACTACTCAATGCATCTTTATATTTCATTCTTATTCTCAAGTTACCATTGATCTAATTGAAATATCACTTAAGTAGCTCAAGTATCACTTAAAGTTTATTAATACATACTGGACTATACTAGGAGAATTTTTATTTAAAGAAATCCTGACCTTTTTGAGATTTGGGAAAACGATCTTATATCTCTTCATACACTTAGATGAAGATGTTTCTGCGTTTGATTTACTAGACAAATAAGGAGACAGGGACTCACAAGGACCTAGCACAAATAGGGGGTTCCTGGTGGGCTATGTGTCCAAGTCTGGGGGTACTTTTTGAAAGACAAATTCCTGTTTCCTAATTCAAGGGCTGACGTCATTATATTTGGGGCTGTGGTGGCCCAGGCATCAGGATTTAAGGGTCTCTGGTGACTGTGATGTACAGGAGCATTTGAGTATCACTTGTCTGGATTACTCTTGCCTGTTTCATGCTTGTGTCTCCTTCTGCCTGGGCTTGCTGTGCACATTTTCTGGGGGACTTTGAAAATTTGAAAAAGTTGTGAAGACCTTGTAGGGAATTTCTCACCACAACTCTGGAGAGCTGTGTGCATTTATACCATCAATATCCTTCCTTCTTCAATGAAGAAGTCATTTTGAGTGGAGAGGCGAAAGATATAAAAGAAAACATACAGCACAGCTATTGGCCACAATGCTAATGTACTAGAAAACTTTAGTCAGAGGACAGTGTCAGTCTCTGAGACCTCTGAGGCCTCAGGACCGATAATGAGACTCAGCCAGCAACATCAGTCGCATGACAGTTTTTTTCTTTCTAAGAGCTCCCTCCCTTTACTTGAGGGGACTACATGGTGATGTTTATTCAGCCTTTCTGTGCTTTGCTCCATTGCTTTTAGAGCCATCTCATTTGCTCTTCTTGACAGCTTAAATAAGAATGTGCCTATTTTTGTGTGTACCATGGCCTATCCAACGGTTCCTTGCCCCCTGCACATCTTTGAGCCTTGTTACCGCCTGATGATTCGGAGATGCATTGAGACAGGCACGAGACAGTTTGGCATGTGCCTTGGAGATCCTGTCAAAGGGTAAGCAAAGAGCCATGGGAATAAAGGGGCCTTGGGTAGAGAAGGCTTTTTGTCTTACTTTGAGGTACTCACAGAGATGGGGAGTTTACAAGGTTTAGCCAGCTCAAGAAAAAGACCACTTGTAAGGATCATAGGCCCTGTGGTGCCAAATTTACTGTGTGAGAGGCTGGCTATCTATGTAAAAGAAAGAGACAAATAATCTTTTGTTAAGCAGGTGGTGTATATTATAAAACTTGTTTTCTAGCAGTGTGGGCCCTGGTGTCAAACTGCTAAGCTCATATTCCAGCTCTAACTTTGTAATAAATTTGACTCTGGCAAAGTTACCTAACCTTCCTGCATCTATTTTCTTGTCTGATAAGAGAGTATAGGGATAGTGCTGACCACATTGTGTTTGCTTGTTGGGGGGGGGTTGATAAGTTAAGAATGCAAATAAAGCACTAAATGCAATTTCTGGCTGTCCAAGTCTATTTTGGGATACTGTAACGGAATACCATAGACTGAGTGATTTATAAATGATAGAAATTTATTTGTCCTCATTCTGGAAAGTTAGCAAGTCCAAGATCAAGGTGCTATGCATCTGATAGGAAGACTTCCAGTTGTTTTATAACATGGCAGAAGGGGAAACAGCAGAGGTAGAGAAAGGAGGACCAACCTCTCCTTTTATAATACATGCATATCTGCAAAACAGCATCAGTTCATTTTGAGGACAGCGTCCTCATGACCTAATCATTGCTTAATGGTTCCACCTCTTAACACTGTTACAATGGCAGTTACATTTCAGAATGGGTTTTGAGGGGGACAAACATTCAAACCATAGCCCTGACACAAACTATGTGCTCAATTAATGGTATCAGGTATACTACTACATTGAGATTTTTTTCATACACTGTGTAGGCACTTCCTTTTCTCAATAGTAGCTATAAACCCTGGGACAGGCAAATAGGCAGAAGTCCTTTGAGCTGTGCCACAGGGTTACATAAATGGCTGGGGTTCTGGCCTTGAGAAAACTTATAAAAGATCTACATTCTTGACTTTATTCTCAATAAACAGGTTTGCAGAATATGGCTGCATCCTAGAGATCAGAAATGTTCAGTTCTTTGCTGATGGTCGCTCAGTGGTTGATAGCATAGGCAAGAGACGCTTCAAGGTTCTCCATCAGGGCCAGCGGGATGGCTACAACACAGCCGACATTGAATACATTGAAGATCAAAAGGTGAGAGGGACCAGTGCCAAGAATCCCAAAGCCAGCCTCTCACTGTAACTTGCCTTAGAAAGATCATTGCAGGAAGATTTGTCAGAACTATTTGGGGTCTTGGGATTTCTCACCAAATTTCTGCAGCTGAATGCTGCTGGTCTGCTGTCTTGTTGCACAATGGCAGTGAAAACATCCATTGTCCTGGATCTTCCTGCTTAACTGCTGAGTGGCGGTCATGCTTTAGAAATGCTACCCTAGACCAACCCTGGGACCTGGGAAACTTAAGAGTTTTACCTCTACTCAGGAAACCAAGGGGTGTATCTGGAGTGGGGTCTACATGTGTGTATTTTATTCATCGATTATTTTGATTATATTTTCAAACATAGGTCTTTTGATATCATTGTAGATGCATACATGCATTTGTATTTTTAAATGCACAACTTGACTAGGAGTCCTTTCTCTAAAGTATAATCATCCATCACCTCCCAAAACAGAAAGACATGTCCAGTTAATCCTTGGTTTTCTGAGATGATGGATAGAATAAGAGGTCAATAATCCCATGTTCATTTATATTTACATTCACTGAGTCATATATTAATAAATATTTGATTAACCCCCAAATCTGTTTGACTTTGAAGATAGTTACACACTGAGACCTAGATACATTCATGTATCTCTTTCCAGTGAACAATGGGAAAATAGATATAAACATGAATATGACAGTGGCATAAATCATCATCACCTGCTTTAACACATGCCTTCTCCCAGGCCTGTTTGAGTCTCTGGCTTTCTGTGTATCTTCCTGTTTCAGCTACTCTAGCCAGTCAAACTCTTCACCTTCCTCGCCCTCAACCATGTTTATACAGAGCCCAGCACCTAGCTGTGGAGTGTTTGATAGCTCACCTATGAGGCAACTAGGATGCTGAAAGGGAGTCAGGTGTTAAAAGTAGCACTGCCAGGCATGAGAATATGCAGAATATTTCAATTCCTCTGTGATACTTTCAGGTTCAGGGAGAAGACTGTGCCGAGCTCATGGGATTACATAACTGTGTCTATGAGCAAGCATCATCATGGTTTCACTCGCTCAAATCATCTCTGAAGACTCGAATTCTCAATCACTTTGGTCCAATGCCAGAGAAAGATGCTGATCCTCAGGTATATAAAATGTCTCTTTATTTTGGGTTGCTTCACCAGATAGGAGTCCTAAAATTTGTGAGTATATGGGTGTGTGGTTTTTATTTAGTAAAGAAATGCAGAGAGGAAGGTGGAGCCAAAGAGGTATTGTTCAACTGGTCAATGAGCATCATAGGTAAAAACAAAAGGATCCTTAATTAGAACTGGTGTAACTGAAGGAAGGTGGGAACTTGGATCCAAGGCAGATGTTGAGAAAGAAGCAAGATGAGGGAGTGGAACATAGGCATCATAAGCAGAAGAATCTTCAATAGGAGTCCACATTCACACCATAGTAACATTAGGGTTATAAGATGTGTGCAGGAGCTAATCGGAAGGCCCAGGTATGCTACAACTGCAAGGTTGGCCACAGAAACTTGTCATGCTTATACTCATCCAGCTCAGCCTTCGAAGTCTAGATCCTCGCTGTTGTCTGCATCAGGACTGAACAGGTCCTGAGAAAACTGATCCCATCTTTAAATTTACCGTTGGCCGAACTGTCTCAGACAATAGTTCACTGGGTTTCACTGGATAGATCTTCTTCCTTGAGGAATAGGTCCATATGTGAGATCAAGCTGCAGTCACAAGATTTCTAAGAAAGTGGAGAGAGTTACATGTTGTCAATCTTTACTTGATTGGTATACTTTCAGAGAACGCCAGCTTTGGAAAGAATTCCTCCCTAGGATAAGGCTGGAAATATCCTGAAACTTCCTTGCTGCTGCCATTTCCCATACTCTGAGCTGGCTCTCCCACAGTATCACTCCTGTGCCCTCTTTGATTCTTAGGCTCATTCCTGACTGTCAAAATAGATAAATATGAATCTGTTATATTCTGGCTTTTCTGCTAATAGATTGGTTTTGCTTACCTTTCTAATAACATGACCTTGGGCAAATCCCTTCCCTCTTCTCACCTTTTCCTTAAAATGAGAGAAGTAGATAAAGAAATCTGTAAAGTCCCCTCTTTTTCTTGTATCTTGAGTCTTCAGATCACCTAACTCACCCCTAAAGTGCAGAAATGTCTTGCTCTTCTGTAGGCCACGGATGTGGCCCCTCTCTTCCTATGCAAAAGCATTACGACATTTGAAGGGAGAAAGACCAGCGAGCACTTCCCACTGACCAAGCTCCTGGCTCTGGGCCATGGTGACTCAGGACTACATCATAGCTCTGAGCAAGCTCATGATCAAGCTTAATGTTCCTCTTTACCTGCTGGCAAGTATTCTCCCCATGAGGCAAGACAGAGATCAGCAATGCTAACCGCATCTTCCACAGGAGAAAACACAGATGTCTCACTGTGATTCATAAGGGCTTAGTGATAGGGCAAGCCAAAATCTTGGGTTTCATTTCCTTTCTTGTTAGTTTGTTATCATGTAGTTCTGGTGATGGCTGCACCAGAAAAAAAAATACAGAAACAAAAATTGAAACCAATATGATCTGCTATGGCCAAAGCTACAGCCCCAGCAGGTCCATGAATAAAAGTATTCCCCCCTGCTTGCCTCAGGGGGAAATTTATTAGAAACCACTACATATATTAAGTATCTTTGTTGATGATCCTGGAAAAGTTCAGAATGTCAATCTGTATCCAGAAATGATCGAGGTGTCAGAATGTGTTACAGATTGCAGTGAAAGACAAAAAGGAATCAGATGAAGCTAAGAGACACAAAAAACAAAGAAAGCAATGAGATTTGAGGGGAATCAGTGGAACCAGTTTGGAGCCAAATAATCCTAAATATAGGGGGTTCGGGTACAGCATGGTTGTCTCCTTAAGTCAGCTTTCTGAAAGTTGTGGGAAGCAAACTCATTTCAGTTTTAGTAAGAAATAAATCATCAATGTCTAAAATGTATGCTCAGGAAGTTAATTTCAAATAGAATCTTGGCAAAGGATTTATATGGGATGAGAAGCCTCTTTAAGGGAAACCTGGGTGCTAGAACATGTTTTCTAATTGGAAATTCTACAATGTGAGGCTGCCGTTCTTTGAGACTGTAAATCACAGCTCATGGATGCAGAGAAGAAGGTAGCAGAGGGTCTGCCATAGTGCTCTGGTATATCTGGACTATTGCTTTCAGCCAGAATAAGGCAATGAAGGGAGGGGAGGTAGGAAGTATGCAAAGCCCGAGGAGTCATGGCAATTAAAGGCCTGCAGAAGCAAAGGATACACACTGCTCTCCTAGAGCAGACCCAAAAATTACACAGATCTCAAATTCCCTTTACATCTCAGTCAAAACTTTGTGTTATGGCCTCACCTTGCTGCAAGGAGGCTGAGAAATAAAGTGCCCTTCCCCACCTCCTATGGCAATATGCTCGCTAAAATAAAGGAGAAATAGGTATAGAGGCAATTATCAGTCTATACCACAAATCGGAGCAGTTACATCTGGGATATTTACTTCAAGCATTTGGAAATCTGCAGACTGCTATGCCTTGCATGGGAATAGGATGAACTCATTGTGTTTCTCTGTTGCAGATTAACCCGAATGGCCCAGCCTGGTGCTGGTGGACATTAGCTGTTCTTCCCTTGGAAAGTCGAGCTCAGCTCCCGTTTCTTGCAATGAGGTCCTTAAAGGATAGACTGAATGGTATTCGGCGAGTCCTGGCTTTTATATCCCGAAACCAGAACTAGTGAAAGTGGATTGCTGAAGAGAAGCGCTCACCCTCCCTGCTCTTTGGGGAGGAGACCTGCTTGTAAATATATCTAATTGCAATAACATCTTAACAGAAGAGGTTATCAAACAGAGGTGTGTTTCCCTACTCTTGATCACACAGAGAAATCAAGTAGAAAGACCAAATGAATGTGACCTGTTTGAAACTTTCTGTCTTAAGATGCTTTTTGAGATGCTGCACAACTACATAAACTGCAGAGGTGTTTAAGAGCCCAGGAAAAAATGATTTTACCATAATATTTTATGGAAGTTTAACATGATTTTGCTTTAGTTTTTCTTTCTTCCATAGGTGAATGACCGTATGGCTGAAATGTGAAGCAAAGATACTAATAATGTTGCTGCATTATTTAACTGACTTGAGTTGTCATTCCAAATGGTTCAGGTTTTATAGAGCATTGTGTAAAATAATGTTCATACTTCTGTTTAATAATTTATTTTTTGCACTACTGTATCCTTTTTTCTACATGTATGTTTGTAACTATTTAAGTGCACATTGCTGAAAAGTCCATTGTTTTATTTATTGATGTGGTTTACCATGTACCTAGGGGGAATTACTGTACTAGAAATGTACAATTTTTGCTTCCAAAACTTTACTATTTTGATCCCAGTTCTTGAACCGTTTCCCCATCTATCCTAGTAGAAGTTTAAAAAGGACTTCAGAATGATGCTAAGATCATCCATCTTAACAGATTCTACCTTTCCAGTTTTAATTAAATAACATGAAATACTTTAATGATTTGGCATAGATTGTGGTACATGCCAAGGTAAAGTAAAAGAATCCAATTGAATGTCTTTAATACAACATATTATGGGCATTTGGGGTAGAAGGGATGGCTTTCAAAAGTATAGCAGCTCACAGCTATTCCTAGCTTGCCTGTACACCCCACCTCTTCTCAGTGTTCTGAGAATGAAGACCTCTGCTGAAACACTCTATGAAGGACTATTTGTTATTAAAAGTGTAAAGAAGCCAGATAGGTGGAAGCCTTTAAAAATACAGTATTTTAAAACAACCAGACAATCTATGGTTTTATCAAAACACTGCCTTTCATTCTAATTTCCAAGAGGCCAAAGATTTCAATATGGGGGAAGAAAAAAGAAGTAAAACTAAGCATTACTTTGCTTGCCTAGTGGTAGCTGACTCCTTTCATGTCCAAAAAATCTGAAAAATACTACGAGTATAGAAGAGTCATAATGTCAGAGTGGAAAGACAGGTGCAGGAAGAAGTGAGTTGTTGTGTTTGTATCTTCATGTAGATTGCCCTCCCCTGTGTGATTCTGGACAGGTGCGCTATTCACTGGAAGCCAGCATACTCCGTTAAAGTGAGAGAGTCATGCTTCAAGTAATTATCATTAGTCCTTGACTTATGAATGAGTTCTGCTCCAGGAGAATTTTTCAGAAGTTGGATTCATTGAAGTGATGAGGTCAATGAAGTGAGTCTTATACAGCATACCTGTCAAAGTTCACAACTTAAATATTTGTAAGCTTCTGTACTATCACCAGTGGTTAGAAACAGGATGGGCAAATGAGATGATCCAGATAATATTTAAGAGACTTGTGTAAGCAGAAACCAAACTATCTTCTCACTTATTAGTGGATGCTGTGTTGGCAGAGCATTATATTAACAGGTTTGATGCTTGTAGTAGACTGGGCTGGAGAAGAATGCAAGTATGGTACAGGGAGTGGAAGGACCTGTTTGTCCGGGAAAACTCTACAAGGCTCACAGTACAGGAAATTAGTGCACATTCTCTCGTGCCAACCATGTGTGCATCTTCTTGGTGCAGCAGTTTCTTATTCTGTAGTGTAAAAACAACAAAGAAAATGTTACAATCTTCTCTATTGACTAAATGTGTTGCTTTGATAAGTGGTTTAATTTTGGCTGAGCCAGTTTCCTCAATGAAATGGCAGTGCTAAATATTGCATATGGGATTGTCATGAAAATTGAATGAAATATAGTTGAAATCACTTAACATGGCAGCCTGACTAGAGGAGATAGTCAACAAATCAGAACTATTATTTCATTGGCCCTAGTTACAGAATATACTCAAAATTCATATTTGCATAAAACGTTGACTGAACATGCAGTAAACACTTGCAACCCCTTTAATTTGGTTGAGGGAATCTGCACCACTAATTTTTGACCATAACTTAATGGTTTATAGGTGATTCCTTTTGGGATGAATTCTGTTTGGGAAAATGTAGAGACTGGAGAACAAATGAGGGTCAGAGGTAGGGACTACTATGCCAACAAATATTGTCCTAGTTTAATAACTGCTAAAAAGCAGTGTTGCTTGGAAATATAACATCTCTGATAGAATAGAACCCTTAAGTTCTAGCTATATTAGGATAACAAATTCATCACTCTCAGTTCTCCAAAATATATTGATAATCTCACCTATACCAGGATGATTGAATTTCATGATCTATGACTTTTGTGTTTAGTTCATAAATGGTGAACTGTATCTCTTTATGCTTCCCAAAGTAGCAGACTAAAAACATGTATTGGGAGCCTACCATGTACAAGATATGAAGCCACATTATCTCTCATACCTGAGTTTATTAAATCATTTCTTTTTTAGAGTGTAGTTATTCCTATATAATAGATGAGAAAACGGAGGCTCAGCATTAATGAATAATTTTCCCGGGTAACATGGTCATGTAATAAATAGCCAAGCTTGATTTTAAATGCATTACTTTGCAGGTTTTAAAAAGTATAAAATAGTTTGTGTTACACATAGTTTTATTTAACAGACATGGCAGTTGAATCACAAAAGAGGCCTAAGCTCCCAATGGGAAGATGCAGATAAATAAAATTCACTTATCCAGCACATCTCTACTAAGTCAAAAAGGAAGTTTTATTTCTTAGTAAATTTTTGTATCATAGAATTCCCCCTGATAGGGGAGCAGTCCACTCCAGAACATGTAGGTCTCTGTTAAGCAGAACTGCACTTTACTCTCAGTGGTCTAGAGACATAGTCTGGTTGTTTTACCGTAAGTTTCTATAATGGTGGGAGGCATGCTAAACCTTGACTATCTTTGGGTTGTACTTGAACAGAATCTTCGATTGGACTTGACTATTTTTACCACTTGTAATGGTTTTGCTGCCCAGCTTGAAAATGAAAGAAGAGTATAGAGAGAAAAGACCTAAGTCTAAATCTAGGCTAGAATGACAAGACTTCCCCCTTGGTAGATAGTGCCACTTATTGGATTGGTTTCCCTGTTTGTTGTGACTGACTCAGTATTTTCCTGGTAGATTATTCTCTCTCTCTCTCTCTCTCTCTCTCTCTCTCTCTCTCTCTCTCTCTCTCCCTCTCTCTCTTTGTGTGTGTGTGTGCATGCATGTATACCCACATACATATACCAAGTTGCAAACAACATCATGCCTTTCTACTTTGTATCACACTACTGCTGCTAGCTAATAACCAGCAAAATGTAGTAAATAAAAAAATGAAGAAGATTAATTTTCTATAGACAACTTGGAGACATTAGGGCATGCCCCTGATTTAGGGGAGCACAGAAATGACTATTTCAGCAGCTAGCCTGTTTTGAAGGCCAACTGCTTCTAGCCCAGTGCTGCCTCAGCACCAGGGTCAAATCAAGTCATTGCACGCATGGCGCTTCCAGCTCTGCCTGTGGAGCTGAGCCGGGCTCAGAAAAATCCCCTGTGACTGGCCATGGGAGCAGCAGAGCTCCTGAAGTCGATTCACAGCACCCAGAGGTCTCTTACTATCAACAGATTGCATACTGTTGATGGACTGCAATCCATTGGGGACTGTGTCGCCCCTGCCAACTCCATTACCAACGTGAACATTTTGTTCAGAACCTCCTTGAGTTCCCAGCTTGTTGACTTTGCATCCATTTCTGCTCACCAAGGCAGAATCATAGTAGAAACATATAACAAATATGGCAGTGAAAGACAACCCAAGTATTGGTAAAGGGCCATTCTTAGCCTACTCTTGGGCCTGATGACAGAGATTTTAGTTCATGAGTAAAGGCAGTTCTGAAAAGCAGCCAGCTATATGGACTCCACTTTGTCCCCCTTCCTAAGTGCTAAGAGAAGGAAGGTATAGGAATCATGTAAAATGTACACATTTAATCCATTTTAGAGTGATAACTCCACTTATCAGTTTAACTATTTAATAATCTGGGTTATGTGCATCCAGATGTGAGATGAAGAGATTTTCACTTAAAAGTGGATATTTTTCAAACATGTTAAATTAACCTCCAGAGAGAAGTGCCTGTAATTTCTGTTCCTGGTGTCACTTTAAAGCTTTGCTATTCATGACTCTGTAGCTATTTTAAAAACTTTTCGCAGCAAATGTGATTAAATGAAGTTTACAAAGCAACACTGTAGCTTATGCATCATTTTAAAAGTTGATTAACATTCATTTATTGTTAAAGCAATGACAATAAACAACAATGAAATAAAAAGAGCAAATAGCTTAACATGGCTTATTTTAGGTAAACTAGTTTTGTCATTGTATGCAATTCTAAGTAATGCCAGAATTAAAATGTCAAACAAGCTACTTAAACAGTGGCAGCTGTGGACGTGTGCTTGTTTTCCATTTGTTTGTCAAGTAGTAATTTGACTCTTGCACTGTAATGAAGGGAAATTAAGATATTGCTCCCCTATATTGCTATTCAACTACCTCTACATGCTTTATTTCTTTTTAGGGGTTCCCTTCCAAGTCTGTATAAAAAAAGTTTCAGCTCATCTATGTTGTAATAGCAATGTAATATAGACACAGTCTTTGTGAAAGTTGTTTGTTCATTAATAAAAGTTTCCTATTGTCTCACTTTGTATACAGCAAAACTGTAATCATACCTTAGGAAAAGAACTACCTAGATTTATTATCACTTTGTTGGAAGCCAAATAGAAAGGAGAGATATGTGAGAATGTATTTTGTTCTTGTTGCTACTGGTTATAATACATTTGATTTGAAGATCCATTTAGAATCTGGAGGTGTAACTTAGTGGTAGAGTGTTTGCATAACATGTGCAAGAATATGGGTTCTATCCAGGCTCAGTGGCTCATGCCTGTAACCCCATCACTCACGAGGCTGAGGCAGGAGGATCATTGTGAGTTTGAGACCAGACTAGGCGCAAAGTGAATTCAATGCCAGCTCAAACTGCACAGCAAGATCCTGACTTAACAAAACACACACACACACACACACACACACACACACCACAAAACAAACAAGCAAAAAAAAAAACCCTTGTGTTCCATGCACAGCACTGCAAAAAAAAAAAAAAAGAAAAATTCCTTTAAGGAAATAGACCTATGCTGACAGCAAATTCATATGCGTGTGGCAGTGACGCAGGTTTGAATGCATTCACATGACTGGTGTGTTCTGAAACACTGGTCCTAAGTTAGGGGTTTTTTCCTTTAAAAACACTAGAAAAGTTTGCTTTTTAAAAATTTTGTTGAAGTTTTTTGTTCACTAATGTACCCCTAGTTTATTTGTAAATCCAAGCATCACTACATGATATTTCCTTAAAGCAGAGTACACTACCTATGGTTTTCTTTAGCATTATAAAATGTTCAAAAAAGCAACATACATGTTTTTATTTTAATTAGATAATTTACCAACACCAGCCTAACGCTAAGGCCCAGAGCATGTATGTTTTTCTTGCACTGCTGGAGACTAAGCCTGGGGCCTTGTGTGTTCCAGACTAGCAAGCTATTGTCCCCATCCCACCATGATCCCTTTTGGCAGAAAATTTATTAAACTGATTGGGACAATTAGTGATACTGACCAAACAAGAGAACTTAAGAAGCATCTTCTGTTCTCTACCATACCAATTTTTGGGCTGTGCCATTGATGATTTTATACATGCTCTATTTTTAACACTGTCTTGGTTACTTTTCTCTCATTGTTGAAACAAAATACCTCATGCCCAAAATGAAGGAAAGAAAGGTTTATTTAGCTTACAGTTTTTGGAGGTTTCAGTCCATACTTAGCTGGCTCCAAAGCAGGTTGGCATGGCTGAGGGGCAGCCATTCATGCCAGCCACAGAGTGAAAGGGCAAAAGGGGAAAGCATACCTCTTCCCTTTCCCTATATTGTATGTTGACTCCCTGCCTCTGGGTGGGTGCAGCCCTCATACCACCAATCACAGCACTAGACAAGGAACCATTCACAAATGTTAGACTCGACCTCAGCCATGATTTCATGAGGCTTGGCGGACCACTCAAATATAAACCATAACAAATGTATGTAAAAATAGAGGGGAAAGACATGAAAATGAGGTAATTTAAAAATGAAATAGGGGCTGGGGATTTAGCTCTGTGGTGTAAGTGCTTTCCTGGCAAGTGCAAGGTCATGAGTTTGATCCCTAGTACCAAAAATAAAGTGATAGCCTAGGTATAGTACCACATTCCTGTAATTTTAGGTATTTGAGGATGAGGAAGGAGGATCCCAAGTTTAAGTTGCCCTGGGCAACTTAGTGAATCACTTGGAGGTAAAAAGCATTGAAAATAAAAATGAAGATAGAGCTTTTCGGCCATAGCTCAGTGGTATAGCACTGCCTGGAAAATTTGATTCCTGGTATCAAAAAAGAAAAATGCCCCCCCAAAAGATCCGTAAAATAGTTTTTACAAATGAGAAGGGAATTGAGAGTTGGAAAGAGCAGGAAGGGATGGGAAAGGTAGGGGATGAAAAAAGAATTACGGTGTGTTACGTACATGTTACCAACTCCCCATCAGAAATATAATCATTATGTACTAGCATGTATGTGTACTAATAAAAATATCCTAGTTAAAGCAGAAAGAAATGAGAGGAGAGGAAAAAGAGAATGAATGAAAAAGAAGGAAGAAGAAAAAGAGAAAGAAAAAAAAGAAGAAAAGGAAAAAAAAGTCCACTTGGAGCTGACCTAGATCTGTATAGCAGAATCTTTGGGGTAACTAAGAAGAATCAGAATTCTAGGCCAGCCAACCCCTAGAAAGAATGCTTGGTTTGGCTTAATGTTGCTCACTTGTACCCAATCTACCACTTTCTGGTTTTCATGAGACAGAAAACACTTAAGCCAAAGGCACATGTTTCCTTCCAAACAATCTTCTAGCTGGAATGTGTGCATAGCTAGCTGTCTGGAGAAGTGTACCGGACCATATAAAAAGGATGATGCTATTCACAGTTGTTCCCTAGGCTTGAGTAAAACCAAAGCCATCACCTTATTAGTGTCTTCTCTCAGCTCCTCTCTGGCTCCTTTGAGTTCCCCAGGGCCAAACATGCCTCCCTGTGGCGGTACTTATAATCACAAAATGAAACTGGAGCAAGAAGAGACAAAACATACCCTGAGTCCACAGGCTCCCAAAAGTCTAACTTTCTCCTTCTTGTCTTTTGTTTTATGATTTCTTCACTCCCAGGAAGGACTGAGGTAGGACTGGTAGGGGCTGGTGTCTGTACTCATATTGATTTCTTATCGCTGAAACTTCCATGACTCTGAGCCCACTTCTCTCACCCTTTCCAGTTTCAATTCTTCAGTTAGCTCACTCTTTCTTCTGTCAAAGCTCTTTGTATGTATTATATATTTTACTATAGGTGTATATAGTGTTCCTCCTCCAAGCGCAAAGGACCAGTGATTAGTGTTTGCAGAGCATTATTTCCAGAAGTGCAGATAAACAGTTCTACTAAATTCGAGATAAACACTTCATTACAGTAATGAATTCCTACTGGAGGGAGGGGTGAGTGAGGCAGGAAAGAAGGAAAGGAAGAAACAAGTATGGAGCAATAGAGTGGCAGGCATCATAGGTGGCAGGGCTTTGGAAAGGGCTAATTGTGCCAACTGAATGGCTACCTTTTCATCTTCTGAGCAGAACTTCATGCATGCCTTTCCTATACTGACTGTAGACTTGATCTTTTGTACCCATTGGAGGTGCAACTTGAGCCCAAACAAAGACTACAGTTATGTCTTCAGGATATACAAGATTTAATTGAATAATACAGTGAATGGTAAAAAAAAAAACAACGTTTTAACAGTAAAGGACACATTGGTATTAAGCCACCTCAAACACTTTCACTTTGAACATACTTATCTGAATATTTTTGCCATTTTCATGAGTGGCTTTAGTTGCACTGTTGCAGCTGCCTCAATGTCCTGCAGCAGTCAAAAACATTTACACTTGATGGTCATTTTCACATTGCAGAAGGCCCAGAAGTCACACAGTACCAGATCCAGTGAATAAAACGGGCAAGGACATTCCATAATGATTTTACAAGCCTGGATTTCCATTAGATGGCAGTTGAAAGCAGCATTCATTGAATTTTTGAACACAGCTAATGAACATACTCCTAAAAGAGGACTTCCAGAAGTGCTTCAGAAAGTGGCAAAAAGCATACAGGTATTGGAAGCAAGGGAGAATATTTTGAGGAGGATTGGTAATATGTCTTCTATCATAATAAATTTTTTCTTCACTTTTTTTATTAGTATGTGCTTATAGTACATGATGATTAGATGCCTCATAAGGTGTTGGTACATGTACATAACTCATCCTAATTATTTTTCATTCCCTTTCCCCCTCCCTCTTCTCTTTCTCAATCTTAAGGTCCCATTGGCTTTTGCTAAAAATCTGTCTGCTCATTTCTTTTTATATATTTTTATTTTGTTCTTTATTTATATTTGGTTTTCTCATATAAGCAAAACCATGCAATATTTAAGCTTGGGTGTCTAATTTATTTTATTTAATATTATGTTCTCAAACTGCATGCATTGTTCTGAAAATGCCTCGTTTATCCTTCCTCATGGCAGAGTGTGTATAAATACATATATCTCATATACTCATTGTGTATAAATATGACACTTTCTTTATTCATTGGTTGATGGGCAAATAGGCTGTTTCTAAGATTTAATTATTCTGATTTGTGTGACTATAAACATGGATATTCGTGCATCACTGTAATATATTGGCTTTAACTCTTTCTAGAAAATACCTAGAAGGGGAATAGCCGGATCTAACGAAATTTCTAGTTTTAGCATTTTGACAAATATTCATATTGATTTCCTTATTGTTTATAGAGGTATACGTCTTCTCGGGAACTTAATTCTTTTCACAATTATGGTCACAAACCAAATTCAACAAAAACTGAATCAAATGTCCTCATGAGGTTAACATTGAACCTAAATGCCGAATTTGATTCAGTTTGCAACCAGAATCATGGAAAGAATTAAGTTTGTAAAACAAGGTACCACTGTACTAATTTACACTCCCACCAACAATGTACAAGGTTTCCACTTTCTCTGCAGCTTGCCAGGATTTGTTATTAGCTGATGTTGCCAGTCTTTCTTTCTGGAGTAAAGTGGAATATTGGTATCATTTTAATTTGCATTTCTCTAGTGACCAGTCATGCTAAATTTTGTAAAATGTATTGATTCAACATTAGTACTTTGTTTTCTCAGAGGTGTTCTATTCATTTCAGTTACTCACTTTTTCATTCGATCTTTTATTTTGGGGGTTAAATTTTTGAGTTCTATATATAGATGCTGGAGGCTGAAGGGTCTGTGCCAAAGGCCAGAAGATGACGTCCAAGGTGAAAATGAAGACTGGAGTCCAGGAAGAGCATGCTCTTCATGATGAGACTCCAAAGTTCCCCTACCAGTAACTTCCCATAAATAGCAATTGAGACAAAAGTGGCAGTGTCCCTACTATGTGCAGGGAGATTGTATCCCATCACCCCAAACTGGGCAAGTGCCTGAGGGAGCAAACATCTGTGTTTTCTAGGTAGGTAAAAAAGAGATCATCCTTAGAAGTTGGCTCGGCCCATAGGGAGTTTCTGTTCATGTCAAGATGTCATGCC